CCCTGTCTCTAAATAAAACACAAAATAGGGCTGGGGATGTGGCTCAGTGGCCGAGTGCCCCTGAGTTCAATCCCTGGTACACCCTCCCCTGTCCCCACACACACACACACAAAAAAAATAGAGTGATTTGGGTAGGTGTGGTGTTTGAGAATGACAACCCAGGTCTAATGCAGAGTCCCTCAAAGAAGGGAAAAACATTGTCTTTTGCCTCACAAGCTACATCAAGTCCTAAAGACCCCCTGTTTGTTGGAAAGCAATGTGCTCTTCACAGGCTACCTGAGGTAGGGTAGGAAAGAAATGGAAAGAGAAGTATAGAAAGGACACCGATCTGAAAGTCTTGAATGTGAAGACTCCCTCCCACCCCCACAGCCAGTTCTCTCCCCCACACCTGGGACTCCCAAACTTCTAGGAAATCCATAAACCTTCACTCACAATCTTAAAGTTAATGGAAACTCACTCACTCATGAAAATTGCCCCATGAATTGCACTACGAGTTAGTCCACACATATTTTTTAGAAGAGGCTGAGCAAAAGAAGATACAAAGCCTTTATGTATAGAATACTTTTGCAGAAACCTATAATGTAGGGTGCTTTCCCCATGTATGATCAGGTAAGGGTGAAGATGTCGACCTAAGATCCTGAGAATTGTCAGACTGCCATAGACCGTCTTGAGATCCCCAGACTGCTGTCCCCTGCACATACCTTCCCACACCCGCCCCTTCGGGACCCCAGAGCACATGCCGTTCTTGAGATAGCCCTCCTTCTCCACTGAATGTGTCTCTTCTTTCCTAAGGGAATCTCTCTCTGTGTCCCGACACATCCTTGAATTCATTTCTGTGATGTTTGTTAAGACCTCCACTTGTCCCAGGTTGAGGTCCCCTCTCTGGAAACTCCTCAAACCTCCTCCAGTGATGTACCTGTCACAACAGGATAATAATCACTTTTAAACATATTTTAAAGGTACCCGTTGGATTCTGGATATCACTGGTGGCTTTGGTCTGACCACAGGGGTCATGTTTCTGAAGCTTTATTTCTGAGGTTCTGGAGAGATGAAGGAGAGGATGGAAAGGTCAGAGTTGAGCATTGATATGGTATCTTTATGAAGTGCCCATAATCAATGGTACTTCTTTGTCCGGGCCACTGTTGCCTCTAGAGAAGACCTTTGAACCACATTTGTATTTTAAATTAAAAAAATAATGTCGGGTGTGGCAATGCATGCCTGTGATCCCAGAGGATCAGGAGGCCGAGGCAGGAGGGTGGAAAGTTCAAGTCCAGCCTTAGCAATTTGGTGAAGCCCTAAACAACTTAGTGAGACTCTGTCTCAAAATAAAAAATTTTTAAAAAAGAGCTGGGGATGTGGCTCAGTGGTTAAACACCCCTCGGTTCAATCCCTGGTACCAAGTAAATAAATAATTAAAAATAACCACGACAGGGGCTGGGAATGTAGCTCTGTGATAGAGCATGTGCTTCACAGGTGGAAGGCCCTGGATTCAATCTGCAGCACCAACAAAATAAAAAATGGGGTTAGGTGTGTAGCTCAGTGGTAAAGTGCTTGCCTAACATGCACAAGGCCTGGATTCAACCCCCAGTACTGCAATAGATTCGTTAACTAATTAATTAACAGAATAGTAATTAACCATTGAAATGAATGAAAGTGGCTGTCACCTTGTATTATGAAAGGACCTATTCCTTGTAATGAAGGAAGGGAGGTATGGCTTCATACAGATGGGACAACTAGAAAAATACCACTCTGGATTTTCATCCTGAGCAGTTGAGGTTGCTGAATAAACCATTTACTGAAAGACCAATCCCAGCAGCTGAAAAATCTCCAAGGCTCTAACTAATGACCCTGTTATCTCTGAAGATGTGCCCCAACCTCTGTCTGCCTGCTGGAGGTCAGACCTGGTTCCTTGCTGCGTCCTTCTGTATAAGAACATCTATGAATTGCCGACACCCCTCAGGGATGTCAGAAGGCAGGAGACATGGTTAGTTTTCAAATTGTCCTCAATTTTGTCAATATTATTGGATATTATCCAACGTGCACGAGAGTGACTACTCATGTGGTCATCGCAAGAATTAAATAAGGCAGGCTATGTGCTTAAAATATGGGTGGATGGATTGATTATAAATGCAATGATTTGAAATGGTCTGGGCTGTGGCGCTCTGAGCAGATTTACAAGCGGGGTGGCGAACACAGTGGTCAACACGGTGTTCCTCAGAGTGTAGACTACAGGGTCCCTGAGGGTACCCCAGGCCTTTTCAGCAAGTTGTGGAGGGAAAAATTATTTTCGTAATCATACAAAGACATTATTTGCCTTTTCACTCTTACCCACTCAGGAGTGATACTGGAATTTTCCATAAGCCACACACATATGATAAGATCCTGAATCCAAAGTCTAAGAGAATGTGTCTTTCTATTCTTGGGTTTTAAACTATTCTCGGTTTTCATTAGTGGTTGCTAAAGAGTTGGAGGAGAGTGGACTGGTTGACTCAAAGGGACAGGGATAATTTGGGGGCAGTGGTGAGTCTATATTTTGATTGTGGTGGTGGTTACATGGCTGTGTGAATTTGCCAAAACTCATCAAACTGTACACTGAACATGGGTGAATTTTACTATGTAAATTAATATATCACTTCAAAAGTAAAAATTATTTCTCAATTTCTTCCTTTCTTCCTTCTTCCTTTTTTTCTTCATATCAGGGATTGAACCCTGGGGTGCTTAACCACTGAGCCATACCCCCAGCCTTTTTTTTTTTTTTTTTTTGGTATGTTTATTTTGAGACAGGTTCTTACTAAGTTGTTTAGGGCCTTGCTAAGTTGCTGAGGCTGGCTTTGAGCTTGTGATCCTCCTGCCTCAGCCTCCTGAGCCTCTGGGATTACACGCATAGGCCACCCTGCCTAAATCTCAATCTCAATTTCTTTTTTTTTTAATATTTATTTTTTAATTGTAGTTGGACACAATTTTATTTTACTTATTTATTTTTATGTGGTGCTGAGGATCGAACCCAGGGCCTCACACGTGCTAGGTGAGCGCTCTACCACTGAGCCACAACCCCAGCCCCTCAATTTCAATTTCTAATAGGATAAATATAATGAATTAGAACCCACATGTACAAAAGCTCTCAGTTTTTACAAAGGACTCCTGAGACCAACACCTTTGAGAACCACTGCACTAACAAATGTCTTTCTTTGGCACTGGGGATTGAATCTAGCGTTGCTTTGCCACTGAGCTAACTCTGCAGTCCTTTTTATTTTCTATTTTGAGACAGGGTTTCCCTGAATTGCAGAAGCTGCCCTTGAACTTTCAATCTTCCCGCCTCAGCTTCCTGATTCACTGGGATCACAGACACATGCAGTATGCCCAGCATGTGTAGATTTCTTTGGGGAAGCAGTTGGAACTCAGTCTGGAGTTGAGGAAAGTGATTAAAAAGGAGATAAAAACTTCTCTGGCCTTCATGCTCTATAAAGTGTATTGCCAACGTGGAGGCCACTAACCACCTGTGGCTTCTAAGCACATGAAAATTACGTAGCTCATGGGCTGGGGATGTAGCTCAGTGGTGCACGTGCTCAGCAAGTTCAAAGGTTCCATTGCTAGTAAAACACACACACACACACACACACACACACACACACACAGCCTAAATTGAGAGGGTCCAAAAAGACTATAAATTATTTCACTACTAATTTTATATGGAAATGACAATATTTTAGATCCAGAAAAATTTACCATTAAAATTTATTTTCACCCCTTGTTTTTTACCTTAATTTAATTACTGAAAAATTGAGAATTACTTATCAGCTCCCTACTCTATTCCTGTTGGACAGTGCTTTTCTGGAGATAGCCAGACTTGACTGCCAAACTCCATCCCACCTCTTACAAGCTGCATCAAAGTCTTACTACATCTCCAAATTTCTTGGATTTTTCTGGAATGTAAAATGTGGGTAATGTTGAATTTGTTATGAAGATTAAATGCAGTCGTACTTGGCAACATGTACTGAGCACTTAGGGGAACAGGAAGTTTGGGGCTATTATCCCTTAAGACCTCAGTTTCCCTATTGGCACCCTCGGAAATCGTCCACGTGCTCATGAAAGGTCTTTCCTCTGCAACCCATTTCCACCCTGTGACAATATAATGGCAGTGTTACTAGGAATTCACCCTGTGTACCTTGGCTCTTGTGCTCTAAGGAGAGACTTAAGAGTAAGACGCGAAATGCAGCTAAAGTGTAGCTAGCTGCCGGGTGCAGTGACCATGCCTGTAATCCCAGCAGCTAGGGAGGCTGAGGAAGGAGGATCTCAAATTGGAGGCCAGCCTCAGCAATTTAGGGAGGCCCTAAGCAACTTAACGAGACCCTGTCTCAAGATAAAAAATAAAAAAGGCTGGGGATGTGGCTCAGTGGTTAAGTGCCCCTGGATTCAACCCCTGGTAGTAGTAGTAGTAGTAGTAGTAGTAATAATAATAATAATAAAGTGTAGCTAGCGAAGTCGATGGCGGAAGTGGGAGCAGACCCTCGCAGTAAATTACAAATACAGTAAGGTTAAAATGACACGCTAAGGAACGCAGGGAGTCTCGGGCTGGGATTCCTGGGCCCTGGGAATACACGATGCTCCCGGCCTCTCACGGAGGCCGCCTCCACTGCCGGACGGGCCCTCCCCCTCCACACTGAACATATGGCCCAGGGTCCTTCCTGAAACTGGGTCGGTCATCTGCATTTGTGAATGGAGTCTGGATAAAATGTGAAAAGGAAACGGCCCAGATCAGGTGGGCCTCCCTTAGCAACAGTCCTCCGCTCCCGTTGCTAAGGGGGACAGGAAAAACAAAGAGGTGGTCCGTGGGCTATTACTCTCCGGTGGCCGCCACTTCCGGTCCTTCCGGGGAGCTTGTCCTTCGGCCTCGTTTCCCCCGAAGAGCTGCGATTGTGGCCGTGGGTTCCGCCGCCGCGGGAGCCTGGGGAGCCCTCCGGCGGGCGGCGGCGGCGGCGGAGTCGGAGGGGCAGCGGCGGGGCAGCGGCTGGCCTCCGGCGCGTCCGCAATGTTGAGCTCCCGGGCCGAGGCTGCGCTGACGGCGGCTGACAGGGCAATCCAGCGCTTCCTGCGGACCGGGGCGGCCGTCAGGTGAGCTTCGCCGGCGGGGGCGGGGCGAGCGGGAGGCCGGGACCGAGGCTGCAGCCGGAGCCGGCGGGGCCTTTTCTCGCCCTGGTCGGGTCCTCCGGGGCCCCGGTGGACGCTCCCCAGGCCTCTGCGTCCTGACGGAGGGAGGCCCGGGCGCCGAGGCGGGAGGGTGACAGGCCTATCAGGGCCTCCAGCCCTGCGGCGACACCGGTTCCGTCAGCGTCCCCAGTTCTGTCGCTGTCCCCACCCCGCGCCATTGCCACCATGCTGCCAGCGTCCCCGACTTCGAGGGCCTCCCAGTCCTGTCTAGGCCCCGGTGCCACCGAGCCCTCTAAAGCCCCCAAAGGCCTGCGAGGCCCCTCGATCCTGAGCCCCCCATTCATATCGGTCCTGGATGCCAGGTTCTCTGCCAACCCCAGTCCTCGGTAGCTCCCAGGGTCTTACCAGTGCCTCAGGCCTGCCAGGCCCCCCCCCCCCATTTTGTCCATACTCCTGTTAATGTCAGACCCCCCCTCCAGTTCTGCTAGGGATCCCCACTTCTGTCTGAGTCCTCAATCCTTTTCATGGGACTGAAGACCCTTGGGAGGGCCCCTAAACCAGACCAGGCCCCTTGATCAGTGAAGATTGCCTGGTCCTGCTGAGGCTTAAGGCCCCCCGCCCTTTCCTGGTATGATACCTGTGTCCCCAGTCCTGTCATCGTGTCTGTCTTATCCGCTCTCTCCAGGGTGCCAGGCTTCAGAGCTGCTTGCTGCACCCCCATTGCTGACCCTAAGTGACTGAGACCTGTTGCTCAGGTTTGCTTCCTTTGGAACTAGAGCACTTCGAACGAGTTCATTATCCCAGGACTGGAAGCCCTCAATGCTTGTCCTGTCCAGGGCCCCCATTCTGTAGGTGGAAAATGAGCCTTGAGCTGGCCTTGCCCAGGACCTGATGGCAGAGCCGGAAGGAGAAGCCAGATCTCTTCACTCCCAGGCCCTGACATTCTGCTCATGATGTCGTTTTTGCAGAGAAATTGAGTTTGCAAAGTCATCATTTTCCCCTGGGATTCTTGTCCCTGCCCTGCTAAGGACCTGGGCAAGTCCTCTCCCCAGCCTTTCAACACTGCCTTTCGGTTTCCCTCGTGAACTTTGGTTTTAAGCACAGACTTTGGAGCCAGCTAGTCGTGGATTCAGAGCCACATTCCCTCACTCAGTCACTCAAGTGACTAAGTTGGCCACATCTCCCAGATCCTTCATCTTGGATGTCAGCAGAACCTACTTTCACAGTTTTTTTTTTTTTTTTAAATATTTTTTAGTTATAGACGGACACAATATCTTTATTTTGTTTATTCATTTCTATGTGGTGCTGAGGATCAAACCCAGTGCCTCACACATGCGAGGCAAGCGCTCTGCCACTGAGCCACAACCCCAGCCCCATACAGGGTTGTTTTCAGGATGAGATAAGATTATCAATAACAGTGCCTGGCATAGCGTATGCATGATTAAGTTTTAGTATTTGATCAGGAGATTTTTAAAGTGCTGCTCAAGTTCTTTACATTTCAGTGTTCGTTCATTTTAGCATTTCCAGGCACTTTAAAAAATATATATTTATATTAGATGTTGATGAAATTCTTATTTTATTTATTTATTTGTATGTGGTGCTGAGAATCGAACCTAGTGCCTCACACATGCTAGGCAAGCACTCTACCACTGAGCCACAACCCCAGCCCTCCAGGCACTTTTGTGAACACATTATGTAAAAATCAGCACAGTGATACATTAAGAAACTTCAAGAAAATGTCATGAATGAGCCTGAGATTATAATGCTTAATAATTATAGAAGTTGATACTTAAGCTCTTTTTATGTACCCTATGCATGAGTGCTGATGTAATCCTCAAAACAGCCCTATGAGGTGTGTCCACGATAATCATTGTTGAACAGATGAGGAGGCTGAGGGTTACAGGGTGAAATGATGTCCTAGGGAATAGCAAAGCCAGGCTTGAACTTGAGTAATGTGATTCCATTTTCTTAACTAAGTTCTGTGCATTCTTCTGATTCTGTCTTGGAAGATCAAAGGCCTATTTGAAATTCATTTGTCAGCTATGATACTAGAAAAATATAAAACAGTCACTATTGTCACTAGTGACTCTTCCCTTAGTTATGTTTACTGAGCTGAAATCAAAATTATATTTGGCTAGGTGTGGTGTTCATGCCTGTAATCTCAGCTGCTTGGGAGGCTGAGGTGGGAGGATTACAAATTCGAGGCCAGCCTGGGGAATTTAGCAATACTCTGTCTCAAAATAAAATTTTAATAATGGCCTGGGGATGTAATTCAGTGGTAGAGTGCTTGCCTAGCATGTGTGAGACCCCCAGTATCTATAAAGTAATCAAATAAAACCCCCTATATTCACATAATCCATGTATTGGGATAAGAATTAGCTGGGCATGGTACTGCATACCTTTCATCCCAGCTACTTGAGAGGCTGAGGCATTTATTCTTAAAAAGGGCTAGGGATGGGCTGGGGTTGTGGCTCAGCAGTAGAGCACTCACCTCGCACGTGTGAGACCCTGGGTTCGATCCTCAGCACCATATAAAAATAAATAAGCAAAATAAAGATATTGTGTCTATGTATAACTAAAAAAAAATTTTTTTTAAAAAGGCTAGGGATATAATTCAGAGGTAGAGTGCTTGCTTAGCATTCATGAGACCCTGGGTTTGATTTCCAATACTGTAGAAGGAAAAAAGAAAAAGTAAGAATATATGTGCTACACATATATAGATATATATTACACATAGAAATCCACATGTGTATGTGTTTGTCTTGGTGGAAATACAGAGCTTTGCATAAAAATAGTTTTTAAATTACTGGAGAAATTTCTTCATTTGTAGTAAAAGAATAAATTCTGTCTGTGTTCAGTTCAAGGCTGAAATTAAGAAATCCTTAATTTTAAAAATGTTCAGAAGATCTTTAATTATATGCTTAATATTTTAAAATCCATTCCAAAATATTTGCTACAGGAGTCAGTCATTGTGTAGATGTTATTGAGAACTTCCAATGTGCCAAGCAGGGCCTAGACACTTCTGACCCCTGCCCTCACTTGAGGGAGATGTACAATAAATGTACTAAGTGGATTTTATGTTAGAAGGTGATAAATACAATGGTTAAAAAAACCCCAGAAACATAGAATCCTGGTAGAGAAGGCCAGGAGTGCAGATTCCAGTAACAGGTTCGGGGTGGGTCTCTTTGAGAGGTGGAGGGTGGTGAAGAAGTGAAGGAGTGGGCCACGCAGTCTTCTGGGGGACGAGGCTTCTGGGGGAGCAGCAGTGCAGAGGCCCTGAGGTCAGGGTGTGGGCCGTGTGGCAGCCAGTGTATCAGTGGAGGGAGAGAAATTGTAGGAGGAAAACTTCTGCTTTTCTTCTGAGTGAGACACTTTTGAAAGGTCATATTTTTGTCTTAGATTTTAAATCTTATTGTCAAAACATCCTGATTTATTTTAATTTTTTTGGTGCTGGGGATTTGACCCAGGGCTGCTTTACTACTGAGCTGCTTCTCCAGCCCTTTTCATTTTTATTTTGAGTCAGGGTCAGGGACTCACTCAATTGCTTTGGGCCTTGCTAAGTTGCTGAGGCTGACTTTGAACTTGGGATCCTCCTGCCTCAGCCTCCTGGGTTGCTGAGATTATAGCTGGGCAACATCCTGATTTTCAAAACATAATTCTGTTACTATATATTACATTAACCTTAAACTTAGGTATTTGGTAGGATATTTTGACAAAATGTTCTTCTTTTACCTATGGCAGTGTATCCATATGACTTGTCTGTAATGAGGGAAGACAATAAACTTATTTTCTTTTTTAGATACAAAGTTATGAAGAACTGGGGAGTTATAGGCGGAATTGCTGCTGCTCTTGCAGCAGGAATATATGTCATTTGGGGTCCCATTACAGAAAGAAAGAAACGTAGAAAAGGTAAGAATGGGACCATTGCCTTGTGGTGTTTTTATCTGAAAGCGGTATAGAAAGCTGGGGGAGTGGGTAGCTTTTTCTTCTCTCATATCTTCAAAATGAGGCCTTTGGTTGTGAAACAGTGCTTTTACATTGACTCATTTATTACTCTGTAATGAAAAGATTTCTACCCTGCCTTTGCAGACTTTGAGTTTAAGGCAGGCTTTGTAATGACGAATTTCAAGCAGCTTAATCAGCTCAGTGTTCTCACTAATATAGCAATTGTGTTTTTGGTAGTAAAATTGATTAATTATGTCATTCAGTTGTGGTTTCTCTGACTAGCTACTGGTAACCAATAAAAGTTTTAAGTTTGTTTCTTCATTAATAAAAAAATCTATTTCCTTAAGTGCTCCCTTATGTAAATATTGTTTTACTTAACATTGGTGAAAGAAAGAGAGTTGTAGCAAGATTTGATCATTGCTAAATCTGGGAATGGTAATAATTTGAGTTCATTATACATTCTTATGCATGTTTGAGAACTTTCATGTTTAAAAGTTTCACAAGATTTTCAGCAGAAGAGGGGATTATATCAGATTTTGTTGATCTCTTTGCAGAAAGATTGATCAGAATTGGTAGAGTGGTGTCTTTCCCAGTGGTTGTTATCAGAACAAAATCATTGTCCCCTGGGAGCAACAACGGAGCAATTGTTTTCTGTTCTGAGAAGTGTTGCTTTTTTATAGAAGTAGAGGGAACATGTGAGAGAATGACGCAGGGGAAGAGGAGGAGGTGGTCACCAAGTGTTCTCATACACTTGACAATAATCCAAGCTGTGCCAGACACTGTGGTGGAGTCAAAGCTAACATGAGACAGGGATGAGTCCTCCTGTCACTCACATCTGTAGGGCAGAACTGGGACCAGGCCTGGGCACAGAAAGAAAGCCTGGCTCCCAGAGCTCATCAGATAAGGACCTGCTCAGATCAGGGTTCCAAACTTAAGGTCACCGTGTAGAAACTCTGGGTCCCAAATGGGAGGAAAAGAAAGTTGGTCCCGTGTGATGTGCTGTTCTTGTGTTCCTCCAATGTTTTTAGGGCTGGTGCCTGGCCTCGTCAACTTAGGGAACACCTGCTTCATGAACTCCCTGCTGCAGGGCCTGTCCGCCTGCCCGGCCTTCATCAGGTGGCTGGAGGAGTTTACCACCCAGTACACCAGGGACCAGAAGGAGCCTCCCCGGCACCAGTACTTGTCCTTGACCCTGCTGCACCTCCTGAAAGGTATCTAGCGGCACTCCCAGGGGGTCGCGCACATTTTCAAGAAAAGGCCTAGATGGCAGACAAACAAAGGGTTATTAGCTTTTTTGTAGAAAAAGATCACGTAGATGGTCATGCAAAGATAGATACAAACAGGTGTATTTTTTAAAAATCAAAGATTAAACCATTTATTTAAAAAATAATATCAGCTTTTTTTAAAAAGGAAAAAATCCACTACCAAAGAAACATTTTGATTGTAAGAAGCACTCTAGTTTCAAAACCATTAAAGTTGAAAGGAAAAAAAAAGTGTGCCTTAGCCTAGGAAATAAGGGCAATCACAAAAATAAGTCATGTGGAATCCTAATAAATACTCCAGAATTAATCAAAGAAATGTAAACAAAATAATAGTGCCACTTAAATTTTTTAATATATTCTTTTGCCTGTCAGTAAAGATTAAAAATTCACAGTCCTGGCCACTGTCGGACAGCACTTCCACATGCTGCTGCTGATGGGTGGAGCTCCATGTATTCCTTCTGGAAGGTGGTTTGCAACTGCCCAGTAAGAGCTTGTGGAGTGTTCAGTACCATTTGGCCTCATACTCCCACATCTAGGAATCTGTCCTGAGAAAGTACTTAGGAAAATGTGTACTATGGGGCTGGGGGGGACCTCAGGGGTAGAGTGCTTGCCTAGCAGAATGAGGCTCTGGGTGTGATCCCCAGCACACACACACAAGAAGAAAACAAGACATGTGCACTGTGATTTATACTAGCCAGGAAAATGGGGTTCTAACAGCAAAAATTGTACGAATGGCTGAACACTGGCCTTCAACTGAGAAACTCTCAGTATGTATTGATAATGGTAAAGATTTGAAGTTACCTGTACAACTTCATTTTTTGTGGGGAGTGGTACCAGAGATTGAACTCAGAAACACTCGACCACTGAGCCCCATCCCCAGCCCTATTTTGTATTTTATTTAGAGACAGGGTCTCACTGAGTTGCTTAGCACCTCACTTTAGCTGAGGCTGGCTTTGAACTCATGATCCTCCTGTCTCAGCCTCCTAAGCCACTGGGATTACAGACATGTGCCACCGCACCTGGCTACAACTCATTTATTTAAATACTTTCAAATATTTATTTTGACCTTTTTTAAAAAAGTTATATATGACAGTGGAATGTATTACAATTCTTATTACACAAATAGAGCACAATTTTTCATATCTCTGGTTGTACACAAAGTATATTCACACCAATTCCTTTCTTTATACGTGTACTTTGGATAATAATGATCATCACATTCCACCATCATTTATAACCCATGCCCCCTCCCTTCCCCTCCAACAACTCTTAGGGATAGGGAGAGAGGGAGCATGGGAAGAATAGACAATTTCATTTTTAAACTAAGTTTTTTGACTGCAGAACTGTCTTTCTTCCCTATAATATCTGTTAAAATCTCATAGACAGGGCTGGGATATAGCTTGGTGGTAGAGTGCTTGCCTAGTATATACAGTCCTCTGACTTCAGTCCTCAGCACTGCAAAACAACAAAACAAAAAAAATTCATGGGTATTATGTAGAACATGATAGATACACAGAGGTCTCCAGCACAAGCCTATAATGGCAAAAAAAGAAAAAAACAAAAAGACCATGAATGATTAAAATGGAATGCTTAAGCAATCAGTGATGTATAGCTATGCAGAATCATTTTTATAAAATCTTTTTAATTTGGGAAAGGCTAAATATTAAGTTTAAAAGAGCAAGAAACAAAATGTGATATAATGTCATTCAGCAAGGTAAAAACTTCCACAGATAAAGGCTGGACAGAAAAAGACCAAAGCATTAGCAGTGGCCATGCTGGTGTGCAGTTATTGATAGTTTTAAGAAACATTTTAAAAAATCATACTTCTGCCTTCAACAATAGCATGTATTTCTCTGATAGTCAGAACAAAAAATCAGACTTAAAAAACTCCCAGCTAAGATTGCTTCATTGAGGTATTTTGCCTTGGGAATCTCTGCTTGACACAAAAGTCTCTAGGAAACAGGTCTGCTCTTCTGTATAAGAGGTGAGTTGAGAATAATCCCCTTTCTGACCCTGTTTTAAAAAAAATACCATTGCAATCCTGGTGCAGTGGTACACGCTTGTCATCCTAGCTACTCAGGAGGCTAATCCAGGAGGATAGCAAGTTCAAGGCCAGCGTGGGAAACTGAGACCCTGTCTCAAAAATAAAACATAATGGGTGTAGGACTTTGCTTAGTGGAGAGCATTTGCCTAGCATGTTTGAGGCCCTGGGTTCAATCCCAATACTAAACAAACAAACAAACATTTAAACTATTTTTAAGCGTATAGTTCAGTGGTCTTAAGTACAGTCACATTGTCATACGACAGTCCCCACCACTCATTTCCAAAGCTCTTCATCACCTTATACTGCAGCTGCACCCATCAGACAGAAACTCACTCCCTCCCCTCTCTCCAGCCCTTTGGAGCACTGTTCTGTTTCTAAGATTTTGACCCTTACCTCATGGAGCCGTGAGATGCTGCATATCCATGTATTTCATAAAAGTGGACCCTATAATATTTGTCCCTTGGTGGCTGTCTTACTTATTTCACTTAGTATAATGTAATCAGGATTCATCCACATTAGAGCATGTACCAGAATTTCATTCCTTTTTAAGGTTGATATCCATGTGCATGTACTGCATTTGGATTTTCCATTCATCCATCAGACAGGGGACATTTGGGCCTCCATCGTTGGCTCTCCTGAGTCACGCTGCTGTTAACATCAGTGTGCAGATATCCGTCCAAGTCTCTGCTTTCATTTATTTTCTGTGTAGATCCAGAAGAAGCCCTGCTGGGTCAATTGGTAACTTTGTTTAAATTTTTGAAGAACCACCATTCTGTTTCTACAGAGGCCACACCAGTTTATCTGCCAGGCAGCAATGCAGAAGGGTCCGAGTCTCTTCATGTCCTTGCCATCACTTGCTGTTTTCTCTTAGTTTAATGATAACCATCCTCACGGGTGTCGAGTGGTATGTTATTGTCTTAATTTGCATTTCCCTAATGATAAGGGATGTTGAGCATCTTCTCATTTGTTTATTGGCCATTCATATCATCTTTTTTGAAAAAAAATGTTCAAGTCCTTTGCCTATTTTCAAATTAGGTTGTTCAGATTTTCTGTTGTTGAATTTTGCTAGTTCTTTCTGTGTTCTGGGTATTGATCTTGCATCAGATGTGTCATTTACAAATCTCCTCACCTTGGTGGCTGCACAGTGGCTGTATATTGAGATGCCTCCGTTTATTTCCCTCTTGTTTCCAGTGTCTCGTCACAGTCAGCAGGCTGTGGGGAGCATCCTGTGCACTGTGGGCTCTTGGGCATATAAGCACATGGGTCCTTAGGTAAATCCTGAATAAAGTCAAGCTGCTGGACTGGGGGACATGGAACTATTAGCAGATATCGCCAGGTCACCCCGCAGCATTTATTTATTTATTTTTTCCCTAATGAATTTTTTTTTATTAGTTGTTCAAAACATTACAAAGCTCTTGACATATCATATTTCATACATTTGGTTCAAGCAGATTATGAACTCCCATTTTTACCCCGTATAGAGATTGCAGAATCACATCGCTTACACATCCACTTTTTTACATACTGCCATACTAGTGTCTGTTGTATTCTGCTGCCCTTCCTATCCTCTACTATCCCCCCTCCCCTCACCCCGCAGCATTTAGACAAAGTCAGGTTAAAGGAGGCATTGGAAATTTTCCTGGGGAGAGAAAAAGTTCTCAGAAGGGCTGCCCAATGAATGCAGGAAGCAGGAAGACACAGTTCTTCTCAGTCCTTCCCTTTGTTCTGGAGGGTGGAGGACTGACCCCAGGATATGTACACTGATAGGTGGACCCTCAGGCCTTCTCAGCACTAGCTGCCCAGGCTGCTACTTCTCACATGTCCCCATTCAGGGTCACCAGGCATACTCAGACAAGGATGAGGGTGGTGATGGATTGGGGTGGGGTCAGAGTCCACACCCTCCAGAGTCAGAGCTTAGAATATATTTTAAAGGAGTCTCTCTCAAGTCCACTGACTGCAAATCCAAGATGAGAAACAGGCTGACCTACTTGTCTGCAAGTCATTGAACTTTCAGAACACCCCCACCCTGAGGTGGCAGGCTTGACTTCTTCTCTCCCACACTCTAGCAGTACTGGTCCAGTGTGGTCTCCTACAGGGAGGGGGTGGTTGAGATCAGCAGTCAGGCCAGGCGCTGGCACAGCCTGTAATCTCAGGGACTCCGGCTGAGGCAGGGGCATCACAAGTTTGAGGACAGCCTCGGCAACTTAGTGAGACCATGTCTCAAAGTAAAATATTTAAAAAGGGCTGGGAATGTAATTCAGAGGGAGAATGCTCCTGGGTCAAAGCCTAGTAACACACACACACACACAAACATACACACAAAATCAGCTGTCATCTCCCTGTAGCCAGTGGGCCAAATCGCTCCCCTTCGTTTTTATTAATAAAGTTTTATTGGAACACAGCCATGCTTATTTGTTCAGGCACTGCCTGTGGCTGCTTTTGTGCTGCAGCAGCAGTTGAGTGGTTGCCACAAAGAACATGCGACCCTTTACAGAGAAAGCGTCAACCTCTAGATGTATTTATAAATTCACAAGCCAATCAAACTTCTATTTTCCTTTATTAGGATTGCTTCTACGCTTGACTGACAAGTGAAGCTCTTAGCAGAGTTTTCTGGCTGCCACACACACCCTGACACGCTCTGCTGTGGTGGCCAGAAGCTCAAACGCATACAAGCACAGCGAAGGCCTTGCCAGGGGAGGGCTCGGTGTGGAGGGTACACACTGGTTACCCACTGGGTGTGGGGTGGACTAGATGAGGGTTTGAGGCCCCTTCCCACCCAGAGAATCGTGAGCTAAAATAGTTTTACTCAATAAGAACCTTGCATCAATAGATTTAGATTGACCATGGTAACTCAAAGATCAGAAATCAGTTACCGCATTTAAATACTGCAGACTCAAAAACACTAGATCCACTCGACAAACATGAAGTGCTAATAGCATAGTAAGCACAAAGCTACAATGAATGATGACGAAAGCCCTCTAGTTCACAGTGAGTTCTGCGTTCTTAAACTGTGATTAACTGTGGCCTGGTGTACTGTTGTAGATTTTCTGGTGTTAGTCATTTGTTGGTGCATTTAGTAACTGGCTTTCCGTTTTCATTTCCAGCTTTGTCCTGCCAAGAAGTTACTGAGGAAGAGGTCCTAGATGCGAGCTGCTTGCTGGATGTCTTAAGAATGTATAGGTGGCAGATCTCTTCCTTTGAAGAACAGGTGAGCACAGCATGCAACAGGTGTAGCTCAGAGAAGCCTTTTCCCTAGAGGCTTAGGGAGCAACCTTGCAGTTGCCTAGTGTGAGTGTATGTTTATAGTGCAGGTGACAGAACCCAGGGTCTTGAACACGCCAGGCAAGTGTTCTACTATTGAGTTCCATTCCCAGTGTTTCTGTGACATTTTAGACAATCTCAGTGTTTTGGGACCAAAGCATCAACTTCCTCCCTGCTCTCGTGATCAGAGCAGACACACAGCCCTTTGCCACCCAGTGGAGAAAGGTTAGCGGCATGGAGCATAAACAGTTGCCAAAGAGGGAAAATATTTCAGTTTTCCAGTGACCTTGCTCTACAGTGGCTAGATAGGGAGGCCTGGGTCCTTTAAAAAGTGGCAAGTGGTGTCATCTTAGTGTTCCAGAGATTTAAGTGAGATCCTTTTTTGGCCAAAGCTCTCATTTTTAAGAAAGTCAGACTTCAGAGATGAGCTTAAAGTGGCCCCAAGCCTTGAGCAGGGGTCATATGCAACCCCAAGACTTTATTCCAGCCACTCCTACCTCCCTGGTCCACACCTGCAGCTTTGCTGTCTGCTTGGGATCTGGCTGCCCTCCTCCGCCCCAGACCACCATCGCCAATGGCAAGCCTGAGCCAGGGGCAGCTGCAGGAGGGAGAAACCACTCTGTTGCTCACTGCAGCGGGGGGGCCTTTTCTGTTTTGTGCAGGCCGCTTCTGCCCCTCTGGTGCAAACACAGACCTGAGAAAGGGGACATGGCCTTCTAGACCTCCCCAGACTGTGGGGCTGGAGCAAGAGGCATTCTAAAAACATGAAAAGGGAACAAGGGGCCTTTCTAGCTCCCCTTCGTTTAAGATGACCTCTAGTTCCTCGTTCCTGTCTGATCTGAAGCCACGAACATGTTGGTGATGTCTCTGCTTTATACATATATTTAGTTATATATGGACACAATATCTTTATTTTGTTTATTTATTTTTATGTTATGCTGAGGCTCGAACCCAGTGCCTCATGTGTGCGAGGCAAGCACTCTGCCACTGAGCCACAACCCAGCCCATGTCTATGATTTTTTAAGATGCATATCTTTTAATCCAATTGTATCTTGAAATGTTTTTCCATTTAGAACGCTGGAAAGCGTGTGTGTGTGTGTGTGTGTGGTGCTGGGTACATAAGTATTCTACCACTGAGCTGAACTCCAACCCTTTTAAATGTGTCTCAACTGAGAGTATGGATTTGAGGTTCAGTCCCTGATGACATCAGATAACTTTTGTTATCAAAGACCCACGTAAGGGCTAGGGTTGTGGCTCAGTAGTAGAGTGCTTGCCTAGCACGCATGAGGCACTGGGTTTGATCCCCAGCACCATATAAAAAACTAAATAAACAAAATAAAGGTATTGTGTCCATGTACAACTAAAAATATTATAAAAGACAACAAAATAAAACAAGACCCACTTAAATTATACCTGATTTCCTGGAAGTGTTCTCAGCATGCTCAGCCCAGAGCAGTCCCTGGCTGGGTAGTGCTTTAGTGTGCAGGGAAGCCGGTGATCGTGTCTTTCTGTTGGTCTCTTGCTCTTTGAAGGGATCCAGAGCATCTGGCACGGGACCTTTTCCATCTGCAACACAGAGGATCTAGTTAGTCAGTAGTTTACTCTTGCTGACCATCAACACATTTTCTGTCTATAGCTCCAGAAATCCTTCTTTGTGTAAACTGATTTGATCTGTACAACAACCCTGTAAGCAGTTACTATTATTATCCCAAATTTATAGATGGGGTCACTGAGGCTTGGAGAAGGGAAATGATTTATCCAAAGTCACAAAGCTGCTTGGTGGCACAGTCCCATTGGAGCTTACCTGGCACTACAGCATACACTCTCAAGCTCCACCCTCTTCTGCAAAACTGTTCATTTCTGGGAGGCTCTGCAGCTCTGTGACTGACAGGACAGATTGTGGTCTGACTCTGCCCTGCCTCAGGAGTGCTCCAGGGCTGGGGCAGAGTCCTGACTGTCAGGGCCCATCCAGTCTCCTGGGAAGAGCTGAGTCCCTCCCGGCTCCCAGCTCATCACTCCCTGTTCCAGGGCTGACTCTGTGCTTGTGCTCTTGGTAACTGGCCAGGCTGCCCCTGGATTATGAGTCCCTGGGTGGCAAGACCCTTGCCTTGTTTATTCTTGACTCTTTTCCCAACAAGTATCTGTTGAGTGCCTGCCTTGGGCAGGGCCTGTTGAGGGCAGGAGGTGGTACAGCAGACCACTTGGCAGATCCCTTGCTCCCATGAACTTGAATTCTTGTGGTGGAAGGAGGGGGATGCAGGCAGTAGACAGGTGATTTCAAGATGTGCAAACAAGAAAATAAATAGGATGACATAATAAGTCCGCGGTGGGGCACAGGGGAGCCTGCTGTAGGCAGGGAGGGCCCATCTGGAGAGGTGAGGCTCTAGTGAGACCTGAAGCATGAAGAGGGGTGAGGCCGTGCAGAATGTTCTAGCAGAGCAACAAGCCACGATGGAAACCTAAAGATGGCTGTAAGCCACAGAGTTTGGAAGACAGCAGGGAGGCTGGGGTGGCTGGCTGGGGCTGGGGCAGTGGGAGGGACGGCAGAGGTTGTCAGGAAGCAGCTCGTGCAGGGAGGCTGTGGCCAGGGCCTAGCTTTTACTGTGTATGCAGGAGGGGGCCATAGAAGGCTTTGAACAGCGCCCTGGTTTGATCTGACTTGTACTTGAAAAGGAAGAACTAAGGGGGCCAGAGTGAGAGGGAGAGGAAGGCGGGAGGCTGTGGCTACTCCACCTAAGGTGGCTTATTGGCGGTGGGGGGACAGGCAGCTTTGTATATTGGCCGGGGAGGTCCCCCTGTGGGGAGCCATTTCAGGGACGCCTGAGGGATGGAAAGGGCAGCTTGGGTACGGGTGGGCACGGCTTGAGATGGGAATAAACTTGTTTTGCTCAAGGGCCATGAAAGAGGCCAGGGGCTGGAGCACGTCGGTGAGGTAGAGTGTTCTAGAATGAGTCAGGGTCAGGGCCTCTCATGGAGGGCTTTGCAGGAGATCAGAGGCTTTTCCCTGGCAGTGAGAGCCGCCGGGAGACTGGAAGCAGAAGAGGAAAACCATTGGCCTTTTAAAAGATGGCTGTGGTCAGTGCTCAGCCTTGGGGCTCAGGTCAACAGAGTGCCTGTTCTCATTCTGCTGACCACGTGGAGTGGGGGGAAGAGTGGGAGTCAAGGGCCCCAGGAGGATCAGCACCCTGAGAGCCTGGGGAGGAGAGCAGGAGAGATGGGAGTCAGGGCTTGGGCTTTCGGGGAGAGGATCATTTGAATTGATCCTTAAAGGGAAGCCTCTTGCCACGTGACCCAGAAGCTCCACTTTGGGGTACATACCAAAAAGTCGCAAACAGACTCAGACAGAGTTTGCACACCCCTGCATGTGCTGCACAGAGCAGGGTTGTTCTCAGAAGCCCATAGGTGGAAGCAACCGTGTGTCCATCAGTAGAGGAACCGATGAACAAAAGTTGTCTGTGGGTGCCAGGAATTGAACCCAGGGCCACTATACCACTAGCCCCATCCCAGCCCTTTATATATGTATATTTTTTTAAGTTTCTTTTTTCTCTCTCTCTTCTCCCCTCTCCCCCAACAAGTTTTTTTTTTAAACTTTTTTTTTAGTTGGTGACAGACCTTTATTTTATTCATTTATTTATATGTGGTACTACTGAGAATTGAACCCAGTGCTTTATGTATGCAAGGCAAGTGCTCTACCACTGAGCCACATCCCAGCCCTTTGTGTTTTTAATTTTGAAACAGGGTCTAGCCAAGTAGCTCAGGGCCTCATAAGTTGCTGAGGCTGCCTTCAAACTTATGATGCTCTGGTCTCAGCCTCCTGAGTTGCTGGGATTATTGGCATGCGCCACTGTTCCCGGCTGGATGAACAAAAGTTTTATGCAATAAAATATTATTCAGCCTTTAAAAAGGAGGAGGGCTGGGTTTGTAGCTCCGTGGAAGAGCACTTGCCTTGCACATGGGAGGCACTGGGTTCCATCCTCAGCACCATATAAGAATAAATAAATTAAATAAAGGCATGTGTCCATCTACAACTAAAAAAAAAAAAAGTTTAAAAAGAAGAAAATTCTGACACATGCTTCAGTTAGATGAACCTTGAAGACATTGCGCCCCGTGAACTAAGCCAGTCACAAAAGGACTAATAGTGTATAATTCCACTTCTATAAAGTCCCTAGAATTGCCAGAGTCCTAGAGACAGGACATGGAATGGGGCCAGGGCCCAGGGAGGGCAAATGGGAGTGAATGTTTAATGGGTAGAGAGTTTGAGTTTGGGAAGATGGAAAAGTCCTAGGGTTGGACGGTGGGGATGGGGACAGACACTGAGTGTATTTAATTCCACTGAACTGTACCTTTAGAAGTGGCTAACGTGGTACCCAGGCATGGTGGCACATACTTGTGGTCCCAGCAGCTCAGAAATGGCTAGTGTGGTAAATTTTATGTGTATTTTACCGTAACCTAAAAAGAAAAAGCACTCCTTGGGAGCCCAGTGGAGTGAAGGTCAAGGCCATGTCAGTTCAGCTGACACTGGCTGCTGGTAGGAGGGCAGCCGCCCCTCTCTGCCTTCTTAATCCTCCTGGACCTCTGAGTTGAGAGTCCCCACCTGTGGAGTCATTTACCATGTGACAGTTTTCCTTAAGGAGCAGGGCCCTGAGAAGGTGGAGAGCCAATTCTGCCCTCTCTAACTACGGGGGTCCGCCTGGTGGCCACAGAGGAGGTGGTGCTGGTCTCGCAGTGACTTCATGGGGCCTCTCTGAAGAATGCTTTGCCCTCTGACAGGATGCTCACGAATTATTCCACGTCATTACCTCATCACTGGAAGACGAGCGGGACCGCCAGCCAAGGGTCACGCATTTGTTTGATGTGCATTCTCTGGAGGTAACCGTTAATATTTTCCTCATGCTTAATGCTGTTTGGACATATTTAGTCTTTGTAGAAAACACAAGTATAATCTTTGTACAACCTTAAGCACAAAAAAGTAGGATTTAGTAAGAATCAGTAGTGGGGATGAGACTGGGGAGGGTCTTAAGGTACACTCTGCAGTCAGTGCCTTTAGCTAGAGAGGTCAGGCTTTTTAAATGATGCATTGCTGAGATTTGTGTTGTGGAGAAGAAAGTTAACTAGTAAAGGGGAAATGCCCCAGGGAGGGGAGGCGTTTTAATTGCCTTGGGTGGAGGAGCCTGCAGGAGCCAGCCAGAGACACTAGCGAGCAAGCTTTGAGAACCGAGGGCTGTGTCGGAAGTTCATTTTGAGTGATGCCATCAGCACAGAAACTTGTAAACTCTCTCGGGGTGGTGAGGGAAGGAAAAGGGGCTGCCGCAGGATTTTCAGTCTGTTTCTTTTTCCCTTACAGCAGCAGTCAGAAATAACTCCCAAACAGATCACCTGCCGCACAAGAGGTAGCTATTTTCTATTGAATGTAACACATAGATGCATACTTTGTAGATATGACACTAATCTGCTTGTTTTAAAAAGTTGTTGTTTTTTAAATTTTTCTTGGTGACACCCAATCCAGCCTGGACTGTGGTCTAGTTACAAAGGAACCTGTATTTTGGGAACAGCTTTAAATGATTGTCTCAGTGTTCCTTGCACCCCAGGCCTGCTCAGGTTCCTCCAGAAGGACTTTGCTCTTCCCACAAGGGCTTTCTTTTTGCTTCTGGAATTTCAGATCGTGGGTAATTCCATTTTAACGCATTTTGTCCTCAGGATTTCCACCTTGGCCCACTTTTACTGCAAATGATCACAGTTCTCCTTTGAAGGGGAATCCTTGTTAACTCTTAAGGCTTGAACTTAAAAAATAAAATTGACACATAATTTCCTTTGTGCCTTAGTTGTAATAGAAACAAAATACCTCTTTTAAATGCATTTTGTATTCTAGGCATTGCAATTTGTCTTCTAAGCTTCCCAACAACTCTATAAAGTTGATTCTGGGGACAGTGGATTAATAATCATCCCTGTTTCCAGCGGATGAGACTTTCAGAAATGAAAGAACTTCCCAGGTCATGAGCAGAGCCAGCAAGGAGGCCGGGCTGCCTGACCCCGAGCCCGTGCTCCTCTCTAGGGTGTGGTCCTCCAACCTCCATCCCAGCCAAAGCAGATCCCAGTTCTTCAGAACTTGCTTATTCTGATCATTTCAGAAGCTTAGCTCCCTGTATGGAATGCTCACTAGTGGAACCTTTCATTGAAATCCCTAGCATTTTAAGCTTGTATTTGTAAGAAGATGTTATTAAATGCAGATTCTTTTTTCAAATGTGGCTGTACCCATGGTATAGAGACCCATGTGAAGAACTATGGAAATCTGTGGAGAAGGAATGCGTGTGTGTTTGCTGGAAGTCAATGAGGAAAACTCTTTGAATGAACTTTTTATTTTACCTAAAGAGTGTCTCCTGTAAAAAGGAGGGTATGTTTTGAGATTGGTGCCAAAGGGCTAAAAGTGGCATATCAAAACGTATTTTGTGTCCCAGGGTCTCCTCACCCCACGTCCAGTCACTGGAAGGCGCAGCACCCTTTTCATGGGAGACTCACGAGCAACATGGTCTGCAAACACTGTGAACACCAGGTAAGTGCAGCACCAGAGCTTGCTGTTCCTGCGAGCTTTTCTCCCGAGTCAGGGTTCTTGGAAGGATTTAGAGAGTGTGGGCTAACCTCAGTGAATGGTGCTGGCGTGCCCAGGCTCTGCACACCTGGAGGGCTGCCTGCCCGCTTTGGTCAGCACCAACATGTCACCTGTTCTCACTTGGCATCTTCTGCACCAGAAGCAGCAGATCTATTGTGAATCAGCAGAATTTTGAGTCCTGAGGTTGAGTTTATGCTAAAGTGGACGCGTAGATTCTAGGACTGGAGGGTCTGGCTTTGTTTGCATTTGATATGTTAAGGTGAATTGTTTTAGAAAGTTTCATCTTTTTCTCAAATATTTTAGAGTTATACATGGACACAATATCCTTATTTTGCTTATTATTTTTATGTGGTGCTGAGGATTAAACCCAGTGCCTCACATATGCGAGGCAAGCACTCTGCCACTGAGCCACAACCCCAACCCAAAGTAATTTTTTTAAAATAGTTTTTAGTTGTAGCTGGACACAGTATCTGTATTCTATTTATTTATTTTTATGTGGGGCTGAGGATTGAACCTAGTGTCTCATGCATGCAAGGCAGGACCACTGAGCTACAGCCCCAGCCCCAAAGTAATTTTTATTATGGAAAATTTTCAACATAATAAAAATATTTTGCAACTGTCACTTCTACCAACTTTAGACATCTCCCCTCTCCTCAAAATAAACCTCATGCCCATTATCAGTGTCTCCCCATCCTCTCCATCTCCCCACCTCTGGCAACCACTGATTGACCTTCCATCTCAGTGGATCTGCCTGTTCAGGACATTTCAGATGCATGGAGTCATACCACATGTGGCCTTTCACGTCTGGCTTCTTTCATTAGCATAATATTTTCAAGATTCTTCCACATTGTAGCGTGTACGACTGCATTTCTGTTTATTGCCAAATAATATTGCATTGCAGATAAACCACATTTTGTTTATTAAATCCATCAATTGATGGGCATTTGGATTGTTTTCATTTTGGAAAGTGTTGTTTACACGTTGTTGTTTATTTAATTGGTTCCTTTTAGTTATACATGACAGCAGAATCCATTTTGAAAAAAATCATACAAGCATGGGATATATCTTATTCTAGTTAGAGTCCCATTCTATGGATGTTCATGGTGGGTATACAAGCTTTTTGTGTGCAAACTTTTATGTAGAAATATGTTTTCATTTTAGTTGGGTGTATATATACACCTAGGAGTGGAATTGCTGCCTGATGTGGTAATTCCATTTTAACCTTTTGAGAAACTGCTGGTCTTTTCTAAGGTGGCTGCACCACTGACTCTCCCCCAGCCGCATGCTGAGGGCTCCCGTTCTTCACAGCTCACCGCCCCTGTGCAGGCTGACTTTTGATTGCAGCCGTCCTTATAGCTGTGGAGTAGTGTCTCTCTATAGGTGTTTTCCCTGCTTTACTGAGGCATAACTGATGAAATCGTGTCTATTTAAGGTGTATAAAGCAATGGCTTGATAATCGTGTGCCCTGTGAGATGGTCACCACAGTCACACTGTTCAACACATGCATCTCCTGGTGTGGTCACCTTTTCGTGTATGTGCAGTAAAGGCACTTGAATTCCTATCTCAGAAAACAGGACACAGTACAATACGAGCTGTAGTCACCGTGCTGTGTGCAGGACCCGGACCGTGAGCCTCGTAGCTGGAGGTTTGTGGCAGTGTCCCCGGCACTCCTGCCTTGGCAGTCACCATTCTATTCTCTGCTTCTGTAAATTCGACTTTGGAGTCTAGATTCACACTGTAGCGTGGTCATGTGGTATTTGTCTTTTTGTGTCTGGATTATGTCAGTCAGCATGTAATGTCCCCTGGGTGCACCTGCGGTATCACAAAATGGCAGGGTTTCCTTCTTTTTATAGTCAGTACTGTTCTGCTGTACGTATTTGTACATTTTCTTTTTCCACCCATCTACTGATAGACACCTAGATAGTTTTGGAATCTTGGCCGTCCGGACTAATGCCGAGGGGTGATTCTGTCTCCTCTGGGTATCTGCCCAGAAGAGGAATTCCTGGGGCACATGGTAATTCTATTTTCAACTTTTTGAGGGGTCTCCACGGTTTTCCCTGAAGGCTGCGTCAGTTTGCATTCCCACAACAGCGTAAGGAGTTCCCCATCCTCCACACCTTGCCAGCACTTGGTGTCTCTTGTCTTTTTAATGACAACCTTCCAAATAGGTGTGAGGCGATGTGGCGTTGGGGTCTAGATTTGCGTTTCCCTGACGAGTAGTGATGTCGAGCACTCAGGGCCCTGTTGGCCATATCTCTGTCACCTTTGGAGAAATGTTTACAGGTCCTTTGCCCAATTTTTAATGATGTTACTTGTCTTGTTTGTTTTGGGGGGAGTTTTCTTTTTTTATTGTTGACTTGTATGAGTTCCTTATTCATTTTAGATATTAATCCCTTTTCAGATTCATCGCTTGCAAATATTTCCAGCCATTCTGCATGTTACCTTTTTGTTTTATTGTTTATTTCCTTTGCTGTCTTGTTTTGATTGAAGTTACCTTGAGGACTGAGGTGTTGAAAAAAAAATAAGGCTGATATACCACAGATCCTTGACATGCCTTATTTTATAAGTCACCCACTCTTCCCTCCTATTTTTTTCTTTGCATTTTATTTTTATGTTAAAGCTATTGTAAAGTGGAATTAAACTTTACTGATTTCCCAGCCAAGTGAGATGGCACACACCTGTAATCTCAGCTACTCAGGAGGCTGAGGTAGGAGGATTGCAAGTTCAAAGCCAGCCTGGGCAACTTAGTGAGACCCTATCTCAAAATAAAATAAAAAGGGTAGGGGATACAGCTCAGTGGTAGAGTGCTTGCCTAGTACATGTGGGGCTCTGGGTTCGTTCCTCAGTACCAAACCCAAAAATTATTTCCTGGTTGTTTGCCAGTAGTAGTTTATAAAAACACAGTTGTTTATGAACCTTGTATCTTGAGAAAGCTTCATGTGTCAGTTGTGGAAGTTTTGTTGTAGATCATATGTATATAATCATGTCTGTGGACGTGAACACTGCTAGTTCTTCCTGTCCAATCTTCATGCTGTTTACCTATTTATTTTCTCTGCCTTCTGTTCTGGCAAGGACCTCTGTATAGAGTTGCTCAAGAGTGGCCATTGCAGACATCCTTGTTTTGTTTCAAATCTTAAGAACCAAGTCTTTGGTGTTTTATAACTAAGATTGGTATTAGCTTTATTGTACTGAGAAAGTTTCCTGCTGTTCCTAGTTTGCTGTGAGTTTTTTTTTTTAAATATTTTTTTAGCTGTAGATGGACACAGTATCTTTATTTTTATGTGGTGCTGAGGATCGAAGCCAGTGCCTCACACATGCGAGGCAAGTGCTCTGCCACTCAGCCACAGCCCAGCCCTGCTGCAAGTTTTTACAGGGAATAATGATTGAATTTTGTCATGCTTTTCCCATGTCTGTTGAGATGATCATATTTTATTCTTTTATCCCATTAATGTGTGAAAAGGCAGTTTTAAATTTTTCTAGCATTAAACCAGCCTTGAATTTTCTGGGAAAAACTCGTTTGATTATGATGTTCTACTGGACATGATTTCTAATATTTTCTAAAGGCTATGTGGCTGTTTATGAGGAAGGTTAATGTTTCAATTTTCTTCTCTTGTAATGTCTTCATCAGACTTTGCTAGGATCATGCTGGCCTCATGAAATAAGAGGTGTTCCCTCTGTTCCTGAACAATTTTGTTTAACATTGGTATTATTTCTTCCTTAAATATTTGATAGAATTTTTGTTTCTTTCCTTAGTTCATGGTTCTGTTTATACTTTGCTATGAAATACAGGCACACATACCTTTTCCACATTTTTAAAAATATTTTTATTGTAGATGGTTATAATATCTTTATTCTATTTATTTATTTTTATGTGGTGCTGGGGATTGAACCCAATGCCTCATATGTGCTAGGCAAGCTTTCTACCACTGAGCCACAGACCCAGCCCTTTTCCACATCTTTTATTGGTGCACAAGCATATATATTATGAGAAATTGACTCTTACTGTCTTAATAAAATGTCCTCTTCATCTCTGACTCATCTACTTCCATGAAATCAAGTCTGTTTGATTCATTTTCATCTTTCTAGTGTTTTTTTGGTATGTCCTTTTCTTTCTTCATATTTTCAACCTTTGTCTTTGTAGTTAAAGTATAGATTTTATAGATAGATATGATTAGGTCTTGCTCTTTTATTCAGCTTGAGAATCTGCCTTTTAATTGGAGTGTTTAGTCCATTTACATTTATTGTAAGTATTCATATGCTTAGATTCAGGTCTGCCACTTTACCATTTGTTTTGTAAATTGTCTTACATATTTCTATATGGCTTACACATTTCTTGTTCCTCTGTTTCTTCTTTCTGGCTTCTTTTGGGTTGATCAATACTTTTTGGAATTCTGTTATTGGCCTTTTGTGTGTATATGTGATTACTCATGTAATTTTACCCATATCATAGCCTATTTAGAGTCAATATCTACTCTTTTATGTAAAGTATTGGAATGTTTAAAAATATATAATTTTGCTGGGTGTGGTGGCACAAACCTGTAATCCCAGAGACTTGGAAGGCTGAGGCAGGAGGATGGCAGATTCGAGGCCAGTCTCAGCAACTGAGCAAGACCCTCAGAAACTTGGTGAGACCCTATTTCAAAATAAAAAATAAAAAGGGCCCAGGGATGTGGGACTGGGGTTGTTGCTCAGTGGTAAAGTGCTTGCTTAGGACAGTTGAGAACCTGAGTTCCATCCTCAGCACCACATAAAAACAAACAACAACAACAAAAAGTGTGTATACATGTATGTATGTGTGTGTGTGAATATATATATACACACACACACATCTGTGTATATATGTGTGTATGTTCATATATACATATATGTATTCTTCAAAAGTCAGAGCTGATCAAAATATTTTTATAGACATGAAATATCAGTGTATCTGCCACAACTAGACCTATAAGAAATGTTAATTTGGGATCATTTTAGGCTGAAGGGAAGAAAACATCAAATGGACTTAGATCTACAGGAAACAGAGCCAGGCGCAGTAGAGCATGCCTGTAATCCCAGTGCTCAGGAGGCTGAGACAGGAGGATCGAGAGTTCAAGGCCAGTCTCAGCAAAGTGAGGTACTGAGCAACTCAGTGAGATCCTGTCTCTAATTAAATTACAAACTAGGGCTGGGGATGTGGCTCAGTGGTCTAGTGCCCCTGCATTCAATCCTGGTACCCCCCAAAAAAAGATCTGTAGGAAACATTGAAGAACATCAAAAACAGGGTGTGTGTGTGAGAACTTTTGCTATCCAGTCTTTTGTGCTGCTTTTATCATATCTACAGACATTATAAACTCCACAATATTGGGTTATAACATGCTTTAAATACTTAGATGTGTTTTTAACAAATTGAAGGGAAAATATTTCATATTTACCATTTTTGGTGTTCTTCGTTGTTGCCTGTAGATCTAAAACCATTTGATGTTTTTTTCTTTTCAGCCTCAAAAAATCCCCTTCACATTTCTTGTGGGTCTACTGGTGGCAGACTCATTGGTATTTCATGTCTATGAAAGTATTATTGTTTCGCTCTTTTAGAATAATTTTGCTGTCTATACAATTTGGAGTTGACCTTGTTGCTTTTATCTTGCTTTGGTGTACTTTAAATTTGTTATTTTAAAGACATTGTTTTCTTCTGGGCATTTTTTTCAAAAAGTGTGTCATTCATATTTTCTTCTGAATTTAAAATATCATTTTTCTAAAGCTTCTACTTACAAGGTTTTCTCTTTTGTTCATCCTGTGTGTAGATAGAGTTTTCTTAAGATTTATCCTGCTTGGGGTTTGCTGGGTTCCTACAATCTGTGTTTTTGTGTTCCACCAAAGTTTGGAGCTTGGCCGTTGTTTGCCCAGTCGTCTTGCCTGTTGTGGACTCGCCGGGCTGCTGATGTGGTTCCCCGGGTCACTGATGCCATGTTCATTTCTCATCGTCTCTTCCCTCTGTGTTGTACAAATTCAGTCATTTCTATTGACCCATCTTCAAGTTTGCTGACTCCTCCATCCTCGGTCTTTGCCTGTCCAGAACATTTTCCATTTTAGTTCTCTTTAGTTATGGAATTTCCTTCTTTTCAACAGTCTCCATTTGTCCATGCACTGTAACTATGTTTCCCCTTTCTGTACTTGAGCATATTTACAACACACCTCTGAGGTCCTCGTGGGCTAATTTCAACATCTAGGTCACCTCCTTTTCACTTCACCATGGGTCACATTTTCCCTTCTTGGTATTGTGTATTCAGTCATTTTTATTGCATATTTTATATTGTAGTAGAGACTGGATTGTGTTGTTTCTCTGAAGGAAAATGGCTTTTGCCCTGGCACTCAGTTCATTTGACGGGGCTCAGATTCCAGACCCTTCCTCCTCTGCCTGAGGGCAGCAGAGTCTCTGCTCAGGTGTTTTAGCTTCCAGATGCTCCCTTTTGCCAGGCTCCCTGCAGTCGGCCCTGAGCTGGTGCCATCCAGGGTCAGCTCTGAGACTGGGCAGGATCTACCCACAGGTTTTGGAGCTCCTCCTCTCTTGGCTGCCCTCTTTCTGGGATTTGTCTGTGTCTTTTTACCAGCCCTGAACTTGGCCTTCTGACAACTCAGGCCTGTAAGATTGCTGCTTTTGCCACCCGGCGTTGTGCAGAGCAGGCAAAATAGGGCACACGGCGTGTCATTGCAGTTTCTGCCAGCTTCTGACAATCATTCAGATGGTTTTGTTTTACTGGGTCCATGTTTTATGGTTGTTGGCTGAAAAGGGGTGCGTCTAGCCAAGCTCCCCCGCTGCTACCAAAAGCAGGGAGCTTATCCTGTTTTATCATCTGACTTTTTCAATTAATCATATAAACATCATTTCACATAATCACACGTTCTTCTACAAATTAAGAGCTGGCAGAAACTAAGTCCTTGTAGTATGTCTATGGTTATTTCCTTAGATAAGATCCCCATGTTGCTGGGTCAGGTATGTGATCTTAAAGTTTTTTCAGGCTATTCTTTAGTATTATTGTTGCTGTTGAATTTGTTTGTTTTGTTTCTGTGGTGCTGGGAGTGAACCCGGGCCTCAAGCGTGTATGCAGAATAAGTGCTCTGTGCTGAGCTACACCCCCCCACAGTGCTTAGGTTTATAAGGTTGTTGTTAATAGAATTTTCTTCTGAGCACATTATGTTTTCTTATGTTAAATGTGAGCATCTAAATTAAATTAAACCAGGAACAGCAATTCATGCCTGTAATCCTAGCAACTGGGGAGGCTGAGGCAGGAGGATCCCAAGTTCAAGGCCAGCTTCAGCAACTTAAAGAGACGCAGTCTCAAAATAAAAACTGAAAAGGGCTTGGGTGAGGCTCAGTGGTCAAGTCCTCCTGTGTTCAATGCCCAGTACTGCTGAATGAATAAATATGTACTAAAGTGTCTCGCAGGCACATACATTCCATCTGTTGCATGGAATCTAAGGTGTTTTTTTTTTTTTTTCCTGCAATATTTGTTTCAGAGTCCTGTTCGATTTGATACCTTTGATAGCCTTTCACTAAGTATTCCAGCTGCCACTTGGGTATGTACCTCTGGTTGATTTGGGGTATGTTTTGCAAATATTTCAATCTGAAAGATCTTCAAGGCACTTTATGTAGCTCAGATCCTGTGTGTTATTCAGACACGTGGTCAGTCACACAATTCTTAACTCCAGGGTGTGGACCAGGGCCTGATCATGGGGGAGAAAAACGTGGAGGTTTTTTGTCTTGCTGCAGGAAATTTGGCTTTTTCATCAAACACCACACATGTGCACACACACACACCCCCCTCAGATTTAAAGACACATAAAACATAGATTTAGACTTCCAAATCATGGAAGTCCGTAATTTTCCACGGCCTTTTATCCTTGTACTCTTAGATAGGTCAGTAGTCGCAGTGCCAGATCCTTTGAGCTCCACCTTTGTGCAGGAGACATCCAGTTGTGTCTGCGGGGCTCTGTTGCCTGGGTTCAATTTGCAAACAATTGGGCAGCTCTGCGCTCCACCCAGCCACCTGCGAGTTCAGTACGGCTCTTCTTTGAATTATTCTAATTTTCTTCTCATGCTGTAGGGTCATCCCCTGACCCTGGACCACTGCCTTCACCACTTCATCTCCTCGGAATCCGTGCGCGATGTTGTGTGTGACAACTGTACAAAGGTATGCCTTGAATCCCAGTGGCATCTCCCAGCTGGCGCGTGAGCTTCCGTAGTGCCCCTCACACCGCTGGCCTCAGCTCCTCTGACTGCCTGAGCCCAGAGGATGTGTGCAGCCCCTGCCATTTCCACCCGACCTGGTTTGGAAAGTGACTGCCCAAGGAGTTTGTTTCCCAGATGAGTTTCGTCTCATCCACAGCGTGTTTAAAGGAGAAGCATGCAGGTCAGGCTGGAGCTGGGAGACGCAGTTCTCTCCACTCCCCTTTCTCTCGTGCCCTGCCTTTTCTCTGTGCTGTCTGTCTGAGTCCCCATGTGACTGCATTTCACCCTTTGAATGGAGAGGAATTGTGTGGACCAAATTTTTGAAGACAAGATAGATTTCATGCCAGAGTTTCAGTTTTGACCCCTCATTTTTCTCCTCCCTCCATGGCTACTGTTATTTAACATTCAAGAGGATCAGTGGGAACAGTTTGCAAATAACTGGGCAGCTGAGTTGATTTCAGCAGGTAGCAGTCCAGTGCCAGTCAGATGCACCAGCCCGGTCGCTGCCCTCCGGAGAAGTCCTGCTCAGGGTTTTCACAGAGAAATGTTGTTACTTCCATTTCAGATTGAGGCAAAAGGAACCTTGAATGGGGAAAAGGTGGAGCACCAGAGGACCACTTTTGTTAAACAGTTAAAACTAGGGAAGGTGAGCCCACCCCTCGTACCAGCTTGACTTTGCTTTGCAGGGATCCCTGTGTCCCACCCTGAAACGTACCGCCCTTTTCTCTCCCTCCGCAGCTCCCGCAGTGTCTCTGCATCCACCTGCAGCGGCTGAGCTGGTCCAGTCACGGCACGCCTCTGAAGCGGCACGAGCACGTGCAGTTTAATGAGTTCCTGATGATGGACATCTACAAGTACCGGCTCCTGGGCCACAGGCCCAGTCAGCACCACCCTAAACTGAAGGAGAGCCCGGGGCCTGCGCTGGAACTGCAGGACGGGCCGGCTGCCCCCAAACCAGGTGTGTGCCCGAAGCAGCCACCTTTCCTCAGCACAGAGCAGGGGTTTGGCAGCACCACATTCTGGCTTCCCCATAATCTGAGCACAAGGCTTATATAGTGTTACTCAGAATTCTTGGGAACAGCAGGTTCGGGGGTAGAAAAGGGGTTTTTGTTTGTTTCTGTGTGTGGTGCTGGTGCTGGATCCCACCCTGGACCTCACGCATTCTAAGCAGGTGTGGTACCCGTGAGCTACACCCCAGCCAAGATTTCTTAAAGAGGTTAAACTTGAACAGTAATGAGGGCTGGGGATGTAGTTCAGTAGCAGGACGCTTGCCTGGCATGCGTAAGGCCTGGGGTTCAATCTCCAGAATCCACCACCCACACACACACACAAAATTACACAGTAATGAGAAAAAGTTCTTAAAATTCCATTATAGATGAAAAAGTACAGAAGGAAAGCTCAAGATTGCAGACTTGCTTTTTCATCTTTGGACTAAACAGTAATTGGCTCTGACCATTCCAGTGAATTTGAATTTCTTTCTCCCGCCCCTAAAACAAGTCATCCCATTTACACAAGGGAGGGTGGTAAACATCCTGGCTGAACATCATGGGAAATCTTATTTGGGTTCACAGTTCTTTTTCCTGGATTGTTGATCTCATTCTGTTACTGTCCTCATCTGAAGTTAATTGTTGAATGGGTCCCCATTAGGCAAGGTCACCCATGAGAAACTGGAGGCTCCCTGTGGTTCACAGTTGGTCCCAGGGCACCCAGCAACTGGCAATCTGGCCTGCAGTATGGGTCCGGGTGGTGTTTGAAGGTGTCTTGTGCAGCCTATTGGGTTCTTTGGAGTTGTAGGTGGGGAAGACCCACCAACTTGTAGGCTCCACGCCTGAACCCACCCCCTGCATGCTGCCCCCAGGTGATTGGGACTGTCCTCCTGGACTCCCACACTGTGTGGACTGAGGTCCCTCCCTCCTTTGATTCTTTTTTCACAACCACAATTGCACGGCCTGGCAAGACCTCATCCGAGGAGACTGTTCCTGGTTCTCCCTCACCAGGCCCTGGATTCACATCAGGAACCCTGAGGCAGGGAAGCCAGTCCCTGGCCCTCGTTTGGCACCACAGCTCTCTTGCCCCAGCCTGCACCTGCCCTGACTGAGGGGCAGCCTGCTGGTGCCCAGAGCACACAGCCCTGTCTAGATGCCAGCGTGAACTACGTGGTGCATGAGAGCCACTAGACATGATGCTTGAGCCGAAAAGAGATGGAAATGTCCCCCTAGTGATGCTACCCACGACTCATAAGTATTAATGCTGCCACACGTTGGTGTTCCTTAGAAGCAGACAGGGTTTTTTAAAAAGACGATGTTTACTTCAGTGGTTCTCAGCGTGAAGCGATGGAAGACTTTGGGCAATGTCTAGTGACATTTTTGGCTGTCACAAAACACCCTGTAACACAGCACATCCCCCACAACGAAGAGTTGCCCAGCCCAGAGTGTCTGTCAGTAGTGCCAAGTCGAGAGGCCTTGATCAAGTCAAAAGCCAATAAATTAACCCCTGCTTGTCAGGCACGGGGCCACCTGTCTGCAATTCTAGCCACTCAGGAGCCTGAGGCAGGAGGATCACAAGTTCAAGGCCAGCCTCCGCAACTCATCAAGGCCCTAGCAACTTGTGAAACCCAGTCTCTAAGTGAAAAAGGGCTGGGGATGTGGTTCAGTGGCTAAGCACCTCTGGGTTCAGTCCCTGGTACCAAGTAAATAAGTTCTGCTTTACTTTGGTACCTGTTGTTTGCAAAGGGGAATGGGAGTCTAAATGATCCACACAGTTATCAAGGCCAGCACTCAATCTGGGGCTTGATACGCTTTTCCTACTTGGATTTAAAATAGGGACTGAAGGGTAGGGAATTTTATGAATTACTTTAGTACAAAAGGGACTATTGCTTTTCTTTGTAGCATTATAGGGAGCTCATTTCCAAGGCAGTCAAAACCACATTTGTTTGCTGAGAGCCACTGCTGTGTTCACTGATTCAGGCCTTCTTCTCTTGCAGTTCTGAATCAGCCAGGGGCCCCCAAAACACAGATTTTTATGAATGGCGCCTGTTCCCCGTCTTTGTTGCCAACCCTGCCACCCCCATTGCCCTTTCCTCTCCCAGTTGTTCCTGACTACAGGTGAGCTGCTCTTCAGAAACACGTTCTTTATTCATCATGAGCCGTTGTCTCACTTTCTGACGCTAACTTTTCACCGACATGAATTAATGACAATTTAGAGATTAATTTTTTTAAATTTTAAGGTGGAATTTTACTTTATTACACATTCCTATTTAGGAATTATAAAAGTACATAGAAGCCGGGCTTGGTGGTGCACACCTGTAATCCCAGTGGCTGGGGAGGCTGAGGCAGGAGGATCAAGAGTTCAAAGCCAGCCTCAGCAAAAGTGAGGTGCTAAGCAACTCAGTGAGACTCTGTCTCTAACTAAATACAAAATAGGGCTGGGGATGTGGCTCAGTGGCCAAGTGCCCCTGAGTTCAATCCTTGGTAGCCCCCCCCCCAAAAAAAGTACATAGAATGTATACGTATGTGTGTATATGTATGTATATAAAGAAGAAAATTTTAAATTTCTTGGATTGCTTAGATAACCCATTACATCTGTATAGAGTCCAACACTGTAGGAGCTGTGTGTAGGTGGGGGCAGGGACCTGTAATCCAGGCTGCTGGAGACGCTGAAGTGTATGTTCCAGGCCAGCCTCGTCAACACAGAGAGGCCCCTTTCAAAACACGAAACAAAAGTGCTGTGTGTCTGTGTGTATACACCTGTGCACACTCAGGGTTCTCCCCGCCACCCTCAGTGTGGACATCCTGCCTCACCAGTAAATGGGGTCTGTATTTCCATGGCTTTGTGGTGTGGTGTCATGTGAGTGCACCGCTGTGCTGACCCCCTGTGTTTAACACCTGGGGTTCTTGTTGTCCTTCTGCCTGTGTGAGACTCCTAACTGTGAACCCGGCGTTTCTCCCCCACATTCAGCTCCTCCACGTACCTCTTCCGGCTGATGGCAGTGGTCGTCCACCATGGAGACATGCACTCTGGACACTTTGTCACTTACCGACGGTCCCCACCTTCGGCCAAGAACCCTCTGTCAACCAGTAACCAGTGGCTGTGGATCTCCGACGACACTGTCCGCAAGGCCAGCCTGCAGGAGGTGCTGTCCTCCAGCGCGTACCTGCTGTTCTACGAGCGGGTCCTCTCCAGGGTGCAGCACCAGGGCCAGGAGTACAAGTCTGAAGAGTGACTGCCCTGGTCCAAGCTGATGGCCTCGTTCGCGCCATCCAGGATAGAAGCCAGCTGTGCTGTGTGTGTCGCGCAAGCAGCTTGCGGCGTGTTCCGAAAGAGGGCTCCGTGGAGGAGCCCCCCACCCCCGGCCCTGCTAGCAGCTCTGGAAGGGCCGGCGAGCCGGAGAGCGTCCCTGTGTCTAGAGTGTCTTTTTACTCATCTGATTCAAGTAATTAAAAGCTACCAGATTCCAGAAACCACCTTTTCTATATTGTAACATGTTAGATGTTCTCAGAGGGCAGTCACCTTTGCCTAATCCTCTGACATTTCCACATAGATTTTTTATTTTTAATAAGCAGGCCCCTAAAAATTGTTGACATAATTAGTGAAATTATTAAAGGCAACAATTTAGAAGAAAAAGTGCCTTTCACTTTCGATTGCTTTTGTAGCCCAACCATTCTGAGAAAGAGACATGATCTAAGAGTCCTAGAAACAGTTTTTGAAAGCCCTGTTCCTTCCAGGTCACTCAGAGGATATCAAAGAGCAGTTACAAGATGCCTGAAGAGCTCCTCTCCCTCTTTGTACGCCTTTTTCTAACCTTTTGATTCTTTCTATGTCTTAAAGACACATCTGCCAAGTCTCCCCGCCCCGGGCGCTCTGTCACGACTTTGTCAGTCAATGTAAGTGAAACGCTTGTTGCTTTTCTCTTTTGTGTACTACACCAAGAGATGTGATCCTAGTACATTATGAAAACCGTGTGGCCAGCCAGACCGGACAGCGTCTCTGTATCTGGGCAACCCCTGTGTCTTCTGCCATGTAGAAAACCCATTACACGAGGACAGTTACTTCTGTGTTATTTATTGCCTGTGCAGGAGCTCTGAAGGCCTACAGGCAGGTCCCTGCCTCAGCTGGAGAGCTGGATTAGGATGCACTCTGTATATGGGCTGCAGTCTTGCTGGACCTGTTTCCTCATTTGTAAAGTGAAGGGTTAGATTAGATGACCGAAAAGTTCAATCCTGCCACACGCAGTGGCACATGCCTAACATCCCAGCAGCTCGGGAGGCTGAGACAGGATGATCGAGATTTTCAAAGCCAGCCTCAGCAAAAGTGAGGCGCTAAGCAACTCAGTGAGACCCTGTCTCTAAATAAAATGCAAAATAGGGCTGGGGATGTGGCTCAGTGGTCGAGTGCCCCTGGGTTCAATGCCTGGTACCAACACCCCCTGCCCCCAAAACTCCAGTCCTTCCCACAGAAGGAAGAAAGCAGTTTGATTTCTGAAACACAAATACAGCCAACATTAGGCATCATCATTGTTTTGGCCCACGTTCTAAATTTATTCATTCCCAGTAGCCTAATACAAAAAGAGTATATTGAGCATTTTCTTCCCTTTTCAGATAAGTCTCATGAATGCAACCCAGGGCTGAAGGAATTTTGATGACACAATAGTACCGAGTTTAAGCTAGGTTTGTGATTTTTAAAAAAAGATACCAAATTCAAGCTGACTCTTCAGAGAAAACATTTGGAATCAGACCAATACAAAAGATCACCAGAAGTCAGGCCAACAACTGTGCTCCTGCTGGGCATGCCCCTGGACTCCAGAGGCTCAGGCAGGAGGATGGTGAGTTCAAAGCCAGCCTCAGCCACGGCGAGGTGCTGAGCAACTCAGCGAGACCCTGTCTCTAAATAAAATACAAAATAGGGCTGGGGATGGGGCTCAGTGGTACCAAAAAAAATAAATAAAAGAACTGTGCTCCCTCCACCTGGGGTGAGCTTCCAGATGTGCGTTGGCATTAGTTGACAGTGCAAGAAGCCCAGGTGGTCACCATTCAGCTGGGCCAGTGTGCATCCTAAGGACTTGGGGACTCTCCCTGCCAATAGAATATACTGTGAAGGTTCTCGGAGCCACCAATGTCAGTGTGAAAGCAGGAGCTTGAACCACCTGGTCCGTGCACTGCAGACCTCAGTGTTGATGTGGAACTGAATGCACCTGTTTATCTAAATCCAGTGACATAAACACCAGGTCGTGTGACCGTGAGCTGCACTGCACAGTTGTAGCTCTGAGTAACTGCTGTTCTGCAACCCCGGGAAACTGGCATCAGAGAGATGCATGCGAGGATGGGCCTCCAGACAGCGGGCTGGGAGGAGCTCCTTGGCCAGAGGCTGGGGTGTGAGTGAAGGCTGTAAATGTGAATGACAACCTGTCTGAACGCTAACTTCCTCATTTTGTAAATTATTAGGCATTAAGTAGCGGCAGAATCATCTGATTTCTTGTTTTAAGTTATTTACAAAGTCAGTAGCTTCTTTTTGGAAAAGCCTAAGTTAAACTAGTAGTCTAGGCTATAATAACTGATTTATGTATTTGCTAAAGGTACTTTTGTATCTGCTATGTATTATAGCAATAAAAGAATCATTTTGTTAGGAAAAAAATCAACTGGTATTCTTTTATAATTCACTATGCTTTCCTTAACCTGCTCCTGTGTTCTCTATTGGTAAAGAAACACCAGCTCCCTCTCAGACAAAAAAAAAAAAAACACAAAAAGAAACATGTTAAAAACGTTTTTATTTCTTAGGCAAAATTTTACGAAATGTCAGGTTGACCCGTGGAGCCAGAACCTTCTTGCGCACAGGAAGACTGTGATACCAGTGGGCGTTGGTCGGGGGGTTCATCATTAGTAAGCTTCCATGGGCCAGCTGCAGCCGGACCACCTCTAGCTTCTGGCGGGGGTTCTTCCCTCGGGAGTCCTTGTGCCGGAAGCAGAAGTCCCTGCAGGCACCAAAGGAGACAGAGGCAATGGGGCTCCTGGGCGCCAGTTCTCTCTCATCATCTCGATGCTCCCCAATGTGGTCACAGCCATCTTTGTACCTGCAATGAGAAAACAGGCACCGCTCAGAATGACCTTCTGGAGGCTGTCCCTGCAGGGCCTGAGCGCCTCCCTGGCTCTGCAGGTGAGGCCGACCTGGGGCATATGCATGGGTAACCTCTCCTAAAGCAGGCCGACAGCACATCTCATCAGCCCCTGGCTCATGCATGGAAACCTTCCTGTCACGTAAAAGGATTTCCTCCCTCCATACAGAATAAACTCCTGTTCCTGGCACATTCTGGCCCCTGGCCACTCGAGAGCACCCCGCATCCCTTCCTCATTGCTTTCTGGCCACACCAGAAGTATTCCTGCTCCACAGGTGCTCTGGGCTTCTCTGGGTGCCTGGCCTGAGGTCTCCAGTTAGTTACCAGCTCAGGTGTCTCCAGGAGCCCTTCTCTAACCATCTCATGTAAAGTGGGTCCTTCTCCTCTGCCCAGGGTTCTCAGCCAGGGTGATGTTGCCCCAGGAGATGCTGGGCAATGTCTGGACACATTTCTGGCTGCTCTGATGGCATAAGGTGCTACTGGCATCCCCTGATGGGCCAGGGACGCTCTCAGTCCTACAATGCACAGATCAGCCCTGGGCAACAAATTACCCAGCCTATGATGTTCACAGTCCTGCTGCTGCTCAGAAACCCTGAACCCCAACCTTTCCTCAGCTACTCATTCAAATCAGCCTGCTTGACTGTCCCCACCACACTCCCCAGGGTCTCAAATGACCCTGCCCAGCTGTCTGTCCAGGAGTTAATCACCCTTCCCTCCTGCTGCTGCCTGAGCTCCCTGAAGGACGACTGGGCTTGCGTTCTCCCACCATGATGTCCCTTGTGTGCTACTGGATGGTTTGCTGTGCAGGACCAAATATGGGGGAGCCCTGAACACTTCCTTTTAGAGGAGACAGAAAGCTATAAAACTTACTCCACCAGACAAGGGAGGCATCACCTGTTGATGAGCACGAAGTTGAAGGTATGTCCTGTCAAGCCAGAGACACGATCCCGGATGCACTCTAGAACTGGGATCCAGGGCTTTGGAGACAGCGTAAGGCCTGAAAACGTGTAGGTCAGTCCAGCGTCACCATATGTGGCTTGCTTCCTTGGCACACTGTGCCACTTCCCAAATACCTGGACCCTGGCCAGTGCACCTGTGCAGAAAAAAACATCAGTGCCAGCCCTCGGACCCAGAGAGGCAGGCGACACACCTGCTGAGTACTCGGGAGAGCAAGGGAAGGAAAACAGGAATAGCATGTCCCTCTGTCCTCCAGTGTCACGAAATGCCCTGTCCTGTAATACCCCTCCTCAAAAATCACTGTGGCTTGCCAAAGTTTTATGTAAAGCCACTCTTGCCCTTCTTTCTGAGGTCAATTCTTGAACACGGTAATTTAATTGCCTTTAGGAGCAGAACAGAGACTGAACTCTGAGCACAATGAGGTTTTCATGATAGGCAATTTGTGTCAACCTGTCACTCCATGGAAGGCGGAGATTGTGCAGCTCATGCTGGGCCAGATCCCATGAGGCATCATGGGGGGTTCTTAGCCTATGGTTCCCAGACCAGCAGCCTCCTCATCACCTGGAAACGCCTTAGAAACCAGACTGCAGAGTGGGCCCCCATGAGAGTGTAGAGTAGCAACATATACCCCAGAACTACGTTCTACCACTTTCCTGTCCTGGAAGCCTTTTTAAAAACACTGATGCCCAGGCTGGACCCCAGCTATCCTGATTCACTAGGTCTCCTGTAGAACCCAGCTTTTTTTTTTTTTTTTTAATTTTACTGGGGATCAAACCCAGGGCCTCATACATGCTACGGCAAGCTCTCTACCACTGGGCAACAGCCTCAGCTTCAGCTTTGGGTTTTTTCTATGATTGCTTTTGAACTTTCCCAGGTGATTCTAGTCAGTAGCCAGGTAGATGCACTCTGGTCAACGGTCAGTGGCCAGGCGATCCTGTTTTTCCCGGGTTGTATCTCAAGCCCAGAATGGCACAGAGAGTATTTGTTGACTCCATTAGCAAGCCCATCAGTAATGGCCCTGAAGGTCAGATTTCTCCTAATATAACATCATGGGTTGTAGGAAACAAGCCTTGAAACCCACACACACGTCTTCTGCTTACCTGTAAAATATTCCACTTTTTCCTCCAACTGTCGGAAAATCTCGTCTGCCTCCGCTTTGCCAAACAAGACTGTGTAATCGCAGTCCAGGCCCTCGGCGCGAATGTGTCGCCAGCTGGGGCCTGCCAAGTGGGTGGCATTCCCCGGGGGGTCTGTCCTGGGCCTCTTCCTTGTGTGTCCTTTGTCGTCGCCCAGGGTAGCTCCTTCTTCTGTGCTCTGCTCTTGCTCCTCCGGCTTTCCCAAAAGGCTCCCTTGAACCTCCTTCCCCAGGAATCTGTCCATCCCTTCCTTCCACAGAAGAGGATGTCAGCAACAAGACACCCAGGAAGAGTGCCCAAGCTCTTTCCCTGATGAAAACTCAATAGGTCGGTTTTGAAGTGGTCTCACAGCAATGCTTCTATTTGGGGATGGAGCTCAGTGGAAGGACCCTTCGGTGTCTAGAATGTGCGAATTCCTGGGTTCAATCTCAGGGTCTGCAACAAAGGAAACAGTTTCAGCTGGAAGAGCCCTAGGGACTTTCTGGCCAGAGTCTTCAGGCAGCACATCAAAACCGCTGGCTAGGAGTGTGGCTTAGTGGTACAGCATGTGCTTAGAGCATTGTGTAAGCAACTGGTTCACTCCTGAGCTCACAAAAAATAAACAACAAACAAAAATACCAACCAGGTGAGAAAAGCAATCAGCTGAAAAGCTTGCAAAAACTGAAGGCGGAATCAGACAGGCAGTCAGTGTAGACAGGTAAACGGAGTCAGGTCGGATCTAGGAGGCCAATTTTGAGTGAGTCTGGGAAGCTGGAGACTGTCCCCTGAGGGGTCTTATCAAGAACCTGCCCCTGCTCCAACCTGTTGCCAAGGTAACCTGTCCCAGGAACTTCCCCTCCCTACAGGGAGCTGTAAGGTTGTTAATGTGTCCTGTCTACTCCATCCTGCCCTCCCCCTCAGCCCACCTATTTCCCACCTTTTGGCCACCCACGGAGCATTCCTGGGACTAGTCCTGGCTGCAGGAAAGAGAAAGATTAGGGAGGAAAGGCTGGAGATCAAAGGAAGCCCGAGACATATAAAAAGGACAGAACACCTCGCCTCTTGGGATACCAGGATACCAGCTGTGGCCCCTTCTCCCTGGAAAAGTCGGTGTTCCCCCCTTTTAAATAAACCCCTGCTTCATACGCTTGCCCCGGCTGCTTCTCTAATGTTCAAACCTCAACGTGTGGGAAGCAGGACACGGATAACCGGCGGTGTCAAAACCTGACACTTGCACTTCACCCCCACGCGGAAAATTTTTAAAGAACACGCCTCCCCGAGGGAATCAGTATTTGCAGTCAAGTTTGGAAACTCCAGACAGGGAAAATGACGCCCAGAGGGAGGGGACAGGGAGTTTTGTCAAAGTCACCCACAAATGCAGTTCTCTATTCCTGTCCACTTTGCTGAGGAAGAGACTCCTGGCTTCCCTCTTTCTCACCAGCATTAAAACAGGTCGATACGGCGACTCTCAAGGGGAAAAGATCCGGAATCCAAATGTCAATTAATGACGGTCAAACCCTCCTCCCCTTATGATAGAAAATAAGAACCGTAACACGTGCGTGCGGTGGGAGCTGGAGAGCTCTCTTTACACCCCCGGACTGCCCCTGCGTGGCTCAGAATCAGGAAAACACCACAGCACGTCCCGGCCGGCGGGAAAACACACTCACCCCGCCCGCGGCAGCTCAGTCGCGCTTGCGCGTAGGTCTCCGGGGGGCAAGCTGGGAAGCGCAGGCGCATTGGTAAACTCAGTGGCTGCTGACCTCCTGGCGCCACCTGTCGGCCCCTGGATGCATCGCAGGCACTGCTCTGTGCCCGGCAATGTCTGCCGCATCTGGGCTTAATTGCCTCATCTGTAAAGTGGGGACTACAACCCCTGCCAAGAGAGGAAGTTGCAATGAAGTTGGGGGCTTTGTTTTAAAACTTCTTAGTATACAGTTCTGCAAATTTTGACAAAGCTACAATACTTTATAATCACTGTTGAAACACGACGCAAAGAAAAGACCACCGACTCCAATTTTAAATCAGATTAAAGCAAGCTTTTATTTGTGTACACTGGAGCTGGCCAGGACTGTTTCTCTCCAAAACCCTGGGCTAGAGATCAGCCCCCCAGCTCTCCAGGAACAAGGTTTTATAGCACAAAAAGTTGCAAACGGGCGGGAGGGGGTGTCTTGAGAACTTACAGCCAACAGGATTTTGACAAACATAGTAAAAAGACAGATTAATGATCTACATGGGAGTAAATTCAGATCTCAACATCAGAATTTATGAAGTGCCACTGAGATTTAGAGAGGGTTGTTATCTGGTCAGGGAAAGCGAGGCATGAGTGAGTTCAAGGCACGGGCAGGAATTCCAAACAAGTTTAGAAATCTCAGTAATTTTGTAGTAAAACTGAAATTAATTTTTCATGACTTTGTGATGAGATGGCTCCCAATCTTAAAATGGAATTAGGCTGGGTTCATCAATCACCACAATCAAGATCTATAACAGTATTGGCCAAATTAGATTGTTATATTGTGTATTGCGTACATGTGCAAATATGTAACAACAAATCCCCTCAGTATGTACAATGATATTACACCTATTAAAAAATGGGGGGGGTATAGGGCTGGAGCTGTAGCTCAGTGGCAGAGCGCTTGCCTGGCATGTGTGAGGCACTCGGTTCGATCCTTAGCACCACATAGAAATAAACAAATAAAATAAAGGCATTCTGTCCATTTACAACTACCAAAAAAAAAAAAAAATGGGGGAAGGTGTTTAAGATCTAGAACAGTTTCATCATCACAGAAATTCCCCCCATCTTTTGGTTGTCAGCTTTTGCTCCTTACCCAGTCTCTGGCAACTACAGTTCTTTCCTCTATCCCTCTAGTTTGCATTTTCCTGAATTTCATATGAATGGAATCATACAATACATAACCTTTTGTGTGTGACCTCTTTCATTTAACAATGGTGCTTTAAAATTTTTTTTTTTTAGTTGTAGAGGGACACACAATATCTTTATTAATTTATTTTTTGTGTGGTGCTGAGGTTCGAACCAGTGCCTCACACATGCTAGGCAAGTGCTCTGCCACTGAGCTATAGCCCCAGCCCCCAGGATGCTGCTTTTAAAAATCCACAGCACTAAAAAGAAATACTGTTTGCATCAGTAATTTGTCCCCTTTTATTGCTGATTAGTATTGTATTCTATGGATGTAACACAGTTGTATTTGGGTGATATGAATAGAATCATTACAGACATTCCTGGACAAGCTTTTATGTAAATACAGATTTTTATTTCACTTGAGTAAATGCCTAGGAGAGTGATGCTGGGTCACAGAATAAGTGTATAAATGTTTAACTTCATACAAACTGCTAACTGGTTTTCAAAGCAAACGATATTCAATTATGAGTCTTTCTCTTCTTACCTTAAGCTCCTTGCCCTGGGCACTGGCACACAGCATCAACAAGGATAAAGCTCCTGCCCTGGTCCAGGTTACATTTTAGAGATGCAGACAGGAATAAGCAAGGGAAAAATAATTTCATATAATATAGAAATTACAGAGTGATAGGCCAGGAGGTGGGGCAGGAGGAGAAGGCCTCACAGGGAAGAGTCCTGAGCAGAGACCCAGGCCTCAGGGGAGGAACTGGCTGTGTCCAGCGAAAGTGCTGGGATCCAGATTCAGTAGTAGGGCTTTGGTGGGAGAGGGAAGGAGCCAGCAGAGCTGGGTAAGACGCAGAGGGTTTTATTTCAAGCCATTTTGAAAACTGTAGGAGAGTTTTAACCTGGGGGTTGTCGTGATATAATTTATATTTCCAAAATATAACCGATAGGAAAGAGAAAGCCAGCCTGGGTTGTAAGCCAGGAGATGGGAGAGCTGCTGTTGAATTCAGGATTTGGAGAATTGATTTGCAGATATTGATAGTTTGAACCCCCGGGGAGGGATGGGGGAGGGAACCCAGGTGTGTGTTGGGGGAGGAGGGGGACCATGGTGCTTTTAGAGGGTGAACAGTTTGGGGTTTGACCTCCGTGACCTTAAAGTCAGCTCCAAACCTGGTAGATAAGGCAAAGCGTAGCAAAGCAGGCTGTGAAAAGTGGTTGAGATCTGTATAGCAGTTCAACAAGTAACGGAGAGAAGGCTCCTTTCCCTCCTGCCACACCCAGTGGGGCCCGTCCCTTTTTTACAGCCGAGCAATTGGAGCACCAGGCCCGGAGGCAGAGAGAGGACGAATGCATTTAACTAAGAGTAGGCGGTCCAAGCCCTACCTCTCCCCGCCCGCGTGGCTCAGCATCCCCTGGGGCGCATGCGCAATGAGCCCTAGGCACCCCGCCCCGCCCCCAGGGAAGCCCCCCACCCTCCGCTCCGAGCATGCGCCGGCTGCTTGGCGCCAATTGCTGACCCACCACAGGCTACTGGGTCCCCGGGCGGCGCTCGTTCGCTCCCTCCTCGGCTCCGGGATGATTGGCCAGAAGACCCTGTACTCCTTCTTCTCCCCGAGCCCCGCCAGGAAGCGAAGTGTCCGCAGCCCGGAGCCGGCCGACCTGGGGACCGGCGTGGTAGCTGTAGCTGAGGAGAACGGCGATGCAGCGGTGAGGCGCGGCGGAGACCGCTTCAGGGCCCCGGGGCGAGAGGCAGGGATGGGGAAGAAGTCAGGAATGCCATCTGGCCGGGGCGGTGCAGGAGCGCACTGCTAGCTCAGTAAATCAGGGGCCCGAGTTGAATACAGCCTACATGCCTTCAAAACAGCCGCCTCCATCCCTCATCGGCCGCCATGCTGCAGGGCCAGCCAATGGGAATGGGCCTCGGGAACCACAGCGCCAATCGGCATGCAGCTGTCCCGCCCTTCTCAGCCCTCTGTCCAATCAGAGGGGGAGGGAGGCGGGACCCCGGAGGAGGGCTTTTTGCCGCGAAAAGGCCACGTGGGGACGCTTCCCGCGGGTCCCGCAGGGCGGGGCGCCTTAGTGAGTCTCAGGACCCCGCGGGGCTCTCTGAGTACCGACTCCAAAGCTCTGCACTGGCTCCACCCCGAGCCCTGGAGTCAATTGTCTGATTTGGCTCGCACCCGCCTTCGCCATGGGCGTCTGTAGCCGACCGCTGGTGGGTTTGGCCCGGAAGCTGCGGGCCCCCGGGAAGCGGCCTGTGCGGTTGGTGACCGGCCTCTGCGGGGACTCGTTGCAGGACCATCCCACCAAGAAGGCCCGGGTCGGGCAGGAGGAGCCCGACACGCCGCCCTCCTCGCCGCTGAGCCAGGAGCAGCTGGTCCGCATCCAGAGAAACAAGGCCGCGGCGCTGCTCAGACTCGCGGCCCGCAACGTGCCCGTGGGCTTCGGCGAGAGCTGGAGGAAGCCCCTGGGCGCCGAGTTCGGGAAGCCGTATTTCATCAAGGTGAGCCGCACAGCCGCCTTGCCCAGGGGTCCGGGGAGCACTGGCTCTTGGTTGGCTTGGCAGGCCATCTGCGTTTAGAGCACGTTGGGCTTCCACGGCCTCCTGTTTTCCCTCCTGCACTGGGTTTCTACCACGAAGCGGGTGAACTAAAGCCGTGGTGTTCTGAGTGTGCACTTAGGTTGTGAAGGACGGTAAGGTGATGTCATGGGTTTTAAGCCACTTAGTTTGCTCCCCAGGAAAGGTTGGCATAAAACAACCAGACTGATTCCCCGCTCGGCCCTTGGGAAAAAGATGAGAAGTATTGGCATCACTCGGACATGAAAGCCATCAGGCAAAACGACAGTGATCGTCCCCGAGAAACAGGGGAGTTGGGGTGATCCGAACTTAAGGCCCTAGTAGGTACAGGGTTTTTTGTTTTGTTTTAAAGAACTTGGATTTGAAACGTTTCAGGGAGTCAGGTAGCTTGCATGAGAAGTTTTCTTACTGAATTCTTACAGGTTTCCAGTAAGAATCTGATTTTTAAATCTAATTAATCTTTTAAATCAGCTAATGGGATTCGTTGCAGAAGAAAGAAAACGTTACACTGTTTACCCGCCTCCACAACAAGTCTTCACATGGACCCAAACATGTGACATAAAAGATGTAAGTACAATTGTGGGTGAATTTTACTAGGGGCAGGAATCAAATAGTACTTGTTAATTAGAGGCACTGGAGAAAAGCCATATAATCCGTCATTCAGTAGAAATTAATACTAAAGTTATGGGGTTTGGCTGACTATATTTCACCCTATATTTATTTTTTTTAATCTTTATTGTGCTACCTTTGCAACAAAAAGGAAAAATATGTACAACAATGTCACTCTTTTATTTATTACTTATTACTACAAATTTATTTCGATGAACCTTTAAAAAATTTTATTTTTATATTTTTTTAGTTGCAGATGGACACAATACAGTTATTTATTTGTTTTTATTTTTGTGAGGTGCCGGGGATCAAACCCAGTGCCTCATACATGCTAGGCAAGTGCTCTACCACTGAGCCACAACCCCAGCCCTCACCCCCCCAATTTTTTTTTTTTTTCAGTTGTTGAGGGACCTATATTTTATTTGCGGTGCTGAGGATCGAACCCAGCACCTCCCATGTGCTAGGTAGGTGCTCTACCTCAGAGCTACAACCCCAGCCCCTCCATGAGCCTTTTAAAAATCTTGTTAATTGCAGATAATGGGACTGGGAAAGAAGGATCTGTTATGTACAGAAATGCACAAAAGAGGCAAAAAAAGAATGAGAGTTATGTTTAGAAGTAGCAGGAATGGGCTGGGGGTATGGCTCAGTGAGAAAGCATTGCTAAGCATGCTGGAGGCTCTCTGGGTTTCTTCCCAGTTGGGAGCAAGGCTGTTCAGCTCAATCAGCCTTCAAGAGTAGGGGGTTGTTGAAATCTTGGTAATTTCCCAACTCCATCTCATGTAATAGTCTCATCTTCCCCCATCCAGCCTTCCTATCAGAACTGACACTGCTAAATTAACTGGTAGAGGAAACAGAACAAGGGGTCAGAGGATAATGCATTGGTTGGACAGTCAGCCTCCCAAAAATTACAGAGTGACTGAATTGCTTTCCTGTGTTTCTAGATGAATCTCTCAGGACTTTGTGTGTCCTACCCAGGTATAGTCTTTGCTGCTGGGGGAATATGGTCGCTACAGGCCACAGCTGTGAGAGAGCCATAGTGTTAGGAAAAGGACTTGATTGGGCTCATTTGAAGTGGAATGCTTGAGTGTGTATTTTCGGTGGTGGGAGACTGACCCAGGGCCAAAGGGGCCACACCACACAGTAACAGTCCATATATATCATGCTGACATTTTGTGGCTAGATCCCCTCCTCCATGTTCTTAAAATATTTGATCTGCAAAATAGTTATATAGTTAACCATTATTGCCCTTCTCCTTTTTGTTTTTTTAATATAAAATGGCATGTAGTAGTTACACATGTTTATGGGGTACAGTGTGACATTTCAATACATGTATACATTGTATAATGAGGAGGTCAAGGTAATTGTATTACCTGAGACATTTATTATGTCTTTGTGTTGGAAACTAGCTATTTTGCAATATTCAATTAATTGTCTACCATAGTTAATCCTACTAGAACTGGAATGTGCTTTGGAACATTAGAAGTTATTCCTTCCTACCAACTGCACCCAGGCTTACCTCCCCCCGCCAGAGTTAGTACAGCAACACTCCTTGCTTCTGTCTTGAAAACCAGCTTCAGGGGTTTGGGTGTGGTTCAGTGGTAGAATCCTTGCCTAATATCTGGCTCTGGGTTCTGTCCCCAGCACTGCAAAGAATAAAATAAAACCAGCTGCATCCATCTGTGGTACTTGAACCTTCGTGATTTGGTTTTCCATGTAATACATTCAGTATCTGCTTACTCTGAAGTTTTTTAGGTGTTTTTTTTTTCCTTCCCCATTTAAAAATGGGAGCAGGAATCATGATTTACAAAATATTCATTAAATCCAGTAGAAGTGGAATAGGTGAATAACTGTCTTGATAAGGCAGTCACACCTAACGCTTAGGAAAGTTTCACAATTTATCTCCTAGAGCAAGAATTTTGAATCTAGCTCCTTGGTTTTAAAGTTAAAAAAAAAAAAAAAAAAAACAGAAACAGAAACTAAGTCCTATTAAATTCAGTACTAGCCAGTGGTGCGTGCTTGTAATAGGACTGCTTGACAAGTGGGCAAGTTGGAGGCCAGCCTGGGCAACTTAGCAAGACCCAGTCTCAAAAAGGCCTGGGGACATAGTTCAGTGGTAGAGCATTTGTCTAGTTTGTGCAAGTTCCTAGGTTCATCCCCAATACCAAATATTTATAAATATGTACATATTTTTTCAATGCTAGTTTGCTCCCAGTTTGAATATTTTGCCATGTTCTGAACACCAGTGATAATGAAACAGGGAGGCCTCTCAAAATCCATTGGGCTGGCCAGGCTGCTTTATAGGTAAGTGTACTGGGTCAGGGAGATTAGGTAATTTGCCCAGAATCTTCTACATCTAGGACCAGAGTCCCAGAGCCAGAAAGCTTTCCTGCCTGTCCAGCTGCTTCACCATGAAGAATATGCACCAGGGGCAGGAACTGAGAGCTTCCTGGTCATGGGAACATCTGTAGCTGGATTTGAAGGATGTAGAATGCAGAAGAAGGTTCTGAGAGCACCAGGGACAGAAGCAGGAGGAGACAGGCAGGTGCTGCATCCATAAGCCGAGCCAGCCTGCATTTCATCACCTCTGAGTGGGGACCTCATTGCTCTTCCTTGCTTCCTACTGCCTACTCCTATGCCCTTTGACCTGACCTCATTCTCCTGGTTTCTTCCTTTCCAGGCCCTAAAATGCACTCATCCTTTGGTAGTTCCTCGTCATGAATCTGTGCCACTGAGTGTGTCAGTCTGTCTGGCCTGCACTGTTGATCTATAATGGAAAACACCAGGAAATGAGCCCACTGCCCATGGGTAGTGACGATATGCTGTACTGATTTGCACACTGCTCAGGTGTGTGGCAGGAGACATGCAGGATAATGAGTGCATTAACCAGTCACATAGACGGTTAAAAATGGTTAACTCTGGAGCTGGGGTGCAGCACAGGGACGAGCACTTGCCCAGTGTGCTGGAAACCTGGGTTCCTCCCCAGCATTGCAAAAAGAAAGAAGGCCAGCTTGAGGCGGGATAGGGATTGCCACGCGACTTCCAGCCACTTTGTATGTTCCTGGGTGGCTGTGCTGTTACAGGGCACATTACCTTTTTTTTTTTTTTTTTTTTTGAGGTACCTTAAATTGAACCCAGGGGTGCTTAATGACGTACCCAGCCCCCTTATTTTTTATTTTGAGACAGAGTGTCACTAAATTGCTGAGACTGGTCTCAAACTTGGAGTCTTCCTGCCTCAGCCTCCTGAGTTGCTGGGGTTACAGACGTGCTCCATTGTACTCAGTTCTACTCTGTAATTTGAAAAGTGAAAAGAATAAATGCAAAACTGACCCCAATTTGAACATTTGTGTCAGAGAAGGGGCGGGGCAGGGCAGCATTTCAGAGTGTTTGACAGATGACTTGTTAATTGGACATAACGGTGACCCGTGGATTCTCCCTTGGGCTTCTTAATTGGGCCAGGAACAGGGTTTTGCTTTTCACTGTTGTGTCTTCCCATGACCAGTCAGCCACATGTTCACTTAGACCACAACAGTATTATGGTTCAATTCTTTGCCATCTGGTGTTTACAGGTGAAGGTTGTCATCCTGGGACAAGATCCTTATCATGGACCCAATCAAGCTCATGGGCTCTGCTTTAGCGTCCAAAGACCTGTTCCACCTCCGCCCAGGTACAGTGCTTTGCAGATGACAATGGTCTAGTCATAATTGATTTTGGATGTGTACGTTGTAAATTACAGGCAGTGGTATTGGGGGGACTTTCACTAGCCTCTGGAGGAGGATTTCTCAACCTGGCACTATTGACATTGGACTGGGTCATTCTTTGTTTTGGGATTGGAGTTGTCCTGTGTGCTATTAAAGTTATATGGGGGTCAGAGCACCCCTGGTTAAAAACCACTGCCTTGGAATATTTATATAAAACAGATAAAAGGGATATAAAACTGTAAGCATCCGTGGGGAGGTGGGTTGTAACTGCTGGGTGATTTACTTGGATCTTTTCAAGGTATTACTCTGTTCCGTATATCCAAATACAGACCAAAGTAAAGGTCTTTGTCAGATTTACCCGTCAGGACTGCAGGTGTTTATCTTGTTAATTGGTGCCCTGGTTTCTGTTGTCCCTTCCAGGGGCTGGCTTTAGACCTATAGCTTTTTCACATGTTGTCTTGGAATCACTGAACTTTCAGGATTCCGCTTAAGATCCTGTTTTTGTTTTTCTTCCTTCTTTCTTTCAGTTTGGAAAACATTTATAAAGAGCTGTCCACAGACATAGATGGTTTTGTTCATCCTGGCCATGGAGATCTATCAGGATGGGCCAAACAAGGTAAGCCAACCCCTGCTAGATACAATTTGTTTTTTTTTTATTTTTTGGTTTTTCCATATTGTTTTATTTGCTTGGGGGTGAGGATTACATAAATAAACACCAAATATGGTAATCCTCTTATGTTTCTGAATCAAAATTACATCATGAGATTAATAAGGGCTCAAAAATTATTTGTTAATTTTCTTTTTTTTTTTTTAAATTTTTTATTGTTGGTTGTTCAAAACATTACAAATTTCTTGACATATCATATTCCTCACTTTGATTCAAGTGGGTTATGAACTCCCACCTTCACCCCATACACAGATTGCAGAATCACATCAGTTACACATCCATTGATTTACATATTGCCATACTAGTGTCTGTTGTGCTCCGCTGCCTTTCCCATCCTCCACCATCCCCCCTCCCCACCTCTCCCCTCCCCTCCCCTCCTCTCTCTCTACCCCCTCCACTGTATAACCCTGAGGGTCTCCTTCCATTTCCATGCAATTTCCCTTTTCTCTCCCTTTCCCTCCCACCTCTCCCTTTCCCTCCCTCCCTGTTAAATGTTAATCTTCTTCTCCTGCTCTTCGTCCCTACTCTGATCTTAGTTACTCTCCTTATATCAAAGAAGACATTGGGCATTTGTTTTTTAGGGATTGGCTAGCTTCACTTAGCATAATCTGCTCTAATGCCATCCATTTCCCTGCAAATTCTATGATTTTGTCATTTTTTAATGCAGAGTAATACTCCATTGTGTATAAATGCCACATTTTTTTTATCCATTCGTCTATTGAAGGGCATCTAGGTTGGTTCCACAGTCTTGCTATTGTGAATTGTGCTGCTATGAACATCGATGTAGCAGTGTCCCTGTAGCATGCTCTTTTTAGGTCTTTAGGGAATAGACCAAGAAGGGGAATAGCTGGGTCAAATGGTGGCTCCATTCCCAGCTTTCCAAGAAATCTCCATACTGCTTTCCAAATTGGCTGCACCAATCTGCAGTCCCACCAGCAATGTACAAGTGTACCCTTTTCCCCACATCCTCTCCAGCACTTGTTGTTGTTTGACTTCATAATGGCTGCCAATCTTACTGGAGTGAGATGGTATCTTAGGGTGGTTTTGATTTGCATTTCTCTGACAGCTAGAGATGGTGAGCATTTTTTCATGTACTTGTTGATTGACTGTATGTCCTCCTCTGAGAAGTGTCTGTTCAGGTCCTTGGCCCATTTGTTGATTGGGTTGTTTGTTCTCTTATTGTCTAATTTTTTTAGTTCTTTGTATACTCTGGATATTAGGGCTCTATCTGAAGTGTGAGGAGTAAAGATTTGTTCCCAGGGTGTAGGCTCCCTATTTACCTCTCTTATTGTTTCTTTTGCTGAGAAAAAACTTTTTAGTTTGAGTAAGTCCCATTTGTTGATTCTAGTTACCTGCTAGATACATTTTGGATTGATGTTAACAGTCATCATTTTATCCTGCTCTTTACAGTTTTAAAAGGTCATCATAAAGTACTAAATGTCTAGTTTTGCTGGGTGCAAGTGGCACATGCCTATAATCCCAGCTACTCGGAAAGCTGAGGCAGGAGGATTGTTATGTTTGAGGCCAGCTTCAGCAACTTGGCAAGATTCTATCTAAAAATAAAAAATAGAAAGGGCTGGGGGTGCAGCTTAGTGTGGAGTGCCCTGAAGATCAATGATCTGAAGTACTGGAGGGTGAAATGATTAGTTTATATGAGTAAAAGTACTTTCTTAGGATATGTCTTTTGTTCTGCAACCAGTTTTTAAAAATAATTTGAAGCATAATATTTTAAGTTTATCCAGTTCACCTAATTGAGCATTCAGAAAGTGGCTCTGCTCATATTGATAGGAGCTGTGTGTCTAGTGCCTATTTTGAGACTTCTTTTTTTAAATAAATTGTCCACAACCAGGATGAAAAAAGAATGTTTATTCTTAATTTCTTGAAGTCTGTTTTTGTTTAAGTGGAATGTTTGGCCTGTTTTCTTATTTGGGGTTATTTAGTATCACATAGGGTACTTAAAAGACATTCTGCTGGCGGGTAACCCATGTTCACCGCTGTAAACTGGAAGATGCCAAAAGGGCAGAGATGACAATAGAGTGGCCTCTAGTCTCACCAGAGCCCACCCTGGCCATGTCATAAGGCTTTCCTCATAACCTAGGGTCATTCCGCAGTGCACATGGTTCATTGTGCGTCTGACCCTCTTGTGGTATCTGCTGCTGCTGCTGAGCCTCCTCCTCACCTGCTCCTGTGGTCTGTGTTCCCAGGTGTCCTCCTGCTCAACGCCGTGCTCACTGTCCGGGCCCATCAAGCCAATTCCCACAAGGAGAGGGGTTGGGAGGAGTTCACCGACGCAGTCGTGTCCTGGCTGAATCAGAACTTGAACGGCCTTGTCTTCCTGCTCTGGGGCTCATACGCGCAGAAGAAGGGGAGTGCCATCGACAGGGTATGGGTGTTTATGCTCTAGGCAGTTTAGAGAATTCTAGGAATCCCTGCCAGTCAATGTTAGGAAATGACTGTCTTGGGTTTCCCTTTGAGAACTGAGGGGCATCTGTCCACACACATGTTGAGCTGTGAAGTGGGAAAGGCAGCCGGCCAGCTTTGGTTTCCTGCAGTTAGTGGTACAGGCTCCGCACGCCCTGTGCACAGAGGACACAAAGGTCCTTGGCATTACTCCTTTAGCACATGGTGCCTTGCCTGGTGAATGAGGCAAGTGTCCTGCTTCCAAGAAATTGGGAGCACGTAGGAAACATGAGGAATTCCACTAATCACACACCCAGTTTCCCCTGCACATGGTGTCAGTGTCGTCGCTACCTGAGGTCTAATTGGAACGTCCAGCACAACCAAACCAGCTCTTTGTACTGCCTTTGCCGCATCCTCTCCAGTTCGCTACCTCTTTGTCCTTCCCCGTGTACCTAGCACACCTGGGTACCTGGTTGCTGAGTTTAACCTGGAAGTCATCCTTGAGTCCTCTTTCCCCTTAAATCCTGTCTGTCTGTGAATCTGATCAACTCTGCCCCTAAAAGGTCTCTGTCCTCCTGCTTCTCACAGTTGCCCTGCTCCCCACTGGCATGAGCTATCAGCTTCTCTGCAGTACAGCTGTGGTAGAGGAGAGGTGAGGGTGTTGGGTGGAAAGCAGAGGAAGGTTTGGGGCGGGAGGGGGAGGAGTGGAGGAGTGCTGGGTGGGAGGATTCTGGGGTGAGTGCTTCAGCAAAGGAGGTCAGGGCCTACGCAGGAACCCAACGGTGGTATCTGGGCTTCAGAAAAGTGCAGTGGTAGTGAATTGAGCCATGCTTTGAGTTTGTCCCACAGAGCTCTGGTTTATGTCCCCGCATCTGTGGAGCAGCCCACCGTCACTAGGCACAGCCCCCACAGTCTGTGGGCCAGTGGGTGCGTTAGGGCTCAGCCAAGGATGGAGCTCAAGCCTGCAGACCTCACTCATAAGTCATTGCCTATCTTTTCTCTTTAGTGGAGCTTTGTCTTTATTTTTTAATAGAGTTTTTCAAAGGTTTAGTAAATTCTCATGATTGACAACAAGTGCAGTTATGTGATGGACATCCTCCCTCCCTCCTGTTCTGTCCACTTACTCCCTCCACCTTGCGTGGCTAAGCACTGGTGTTTAGTTTCTGATATATTTTTCTGGAGTCCTCATGCATATATAAGCAAATAATAGCCAAGCATGTAAGTCAGATCAAAAAGCTTTTTTGTCCAAAAAGTTTGTGTGAATACGTAACATATTTTCAGAGTTTGGGGAAGGGGGGTTGGTTGGTTGGTTGGTTTGTTTAGGGGTACTGGGATTGAAACCAGGAACACTCTGAGTACGTCCCCAATTTCTTTTTAAAGTTTTTTTATTTTGAAAAAGTTTCCCAATCTGGCTTTGAACTTGCCATCCTGAGTTTCTGGGATTATAGGCCTGTGCCACTGTGCCTGGATTAGGGATTTTTCTAACTGGAATCTTGGAGGGGGAAAAAAAAACCTAACCTAAGATTAAATCTTGCATGGATTGCTAAGGTCTTTTTTTTTTTTTAACTTGGTATAGACCTTTATTTATTTATGTGTGGTGCTAAGAATTGAACCCAGTGCCTCACACATGCCAGGCAAGTGCGCTACTGATCAGTCCCAGCCCAAAATCTTGTTTATAAGTAAAGAAGTATACATGGGAGTAATTACTCTTTACCTTAAGGAGGCAGTGAGTGGCTGCTATAGCTCTTACTGTGTTGGTAATCTGTGTTATCTATAAGCATGGTTTGGTCTGGAAGTAAACTGTTACCTAGCTCCAAGGCCAAGTCTCCTGAGTGCTAGATTGTCTAGTGCCCCCTCATTAGTGTCCTGGAAACACATCAAATTCAGCCTTGTTCACATTAAATTCTTCTCTCTCCTCCTTAAACTTGCTCCTCTGTACTCTCCAACAATAGAAAGTGCCACTATTTGCCTAGTTGTCCAGCCAGAAATCTGGCACTTACCCTGGCACCTACCTGCCTCCTCCTCTTCCCCTCTCTTCCCCTTCATGTGAAATCAGTCATGTCTGCGTTCTTCTCTCTGCTGTTTCACATCTGTTCCCTTCTGAACACCTCTGCCCTGAATTGGCCCTCATCTGATCTTACCTGGAGATTCAGAAGCTTACTCTAGAGAAGGCCTTGGCGCAGGCTGACCAGCTGGGTGGGAGATAGCCTCCAGCAAGCCTTACTTCCGACTCCCCGATTTCCCCTCTGAGCTCCAGGCTGACTGGCCACCTGCACCTTTCCCCGTGCCCCACTTCTTGCAGTTCTTGGCACAGACTGTTTCCTCTGCCCAAACTGGAAGTCTTTGCTTTCCTGGGAGGTGAACTGGATGGTCTTTCAGAGCTCCGTGTAGCTGACTTTACAGGGGCCTGTAGGGCTGCCGGTGTGGTGAGCTCTGACGTGCCTTCTCCTGACAGCCACCCATGTTCACTCATTTGATCCTCACAGTGGCCTCCCCCTAGGTGAGGCGTAGCTGTCACTTAGCTTACAGATGAAGCTGAAGTGCAGCTTGGTGTTGTGGCCATTCTCGTGGTCACAGCGGCCAAGGGATAGAGCTGGTCTTGGACCCAGGCAGTCGTCCCAGGCTTTGCTCCTGGCCGTGCTGGGCTCCTTCCCTGTAGTTGTCCCCCACATGCACACCAAGCAGGGATATTTATTGTGAAAGACCACAGCCTGTTAATTTTTACCTAAAATGCAGAAAAGAATTGAGAGGAAAGCAAAAATAGTCCATAGTCTCCCTGTTCCAGATAACTTCAATTGAAATCTTAAAAATCAAGTATTCCATCTTGAATGCCTTTCACCATTTCCTCTAAAGGAATACTATAGTGTCTTGGGTATTTTTCCAAAAAAATTCTTTGTATTGCTGGAGATCAAACCCAGGGCTCATGCATCTAGGCAAGCACCTTACCACTGAGCAACGCCCCCAGCCCTCAAGGAAAAAAAAAAAACAAAACTGAAAATGCATTTATTACTTTACATTGCTTGTTTCCACCTGATAAATTTTAGGGGTCTTGGGCCAGGGATATAGTTCAGTACAAGATGTGTGGATAGCTCTGGATTGCCAGTGCCACATTTAAATTTTTTTGTTTTTTGATGTCCTCCCATATCAGTACACATAGGTTAGTCCAGTTTTGTTTTGGTGGGCTTTTGTTTTTGCTTTGGCACTAAAGACTGAACCCAGGGCCGCTTGGTCCCTTAACACTTGAACACTGGACTTACATGAAGCTGCAGCCGGCTTTAGACTTAGATCTAAGCTGTGCTATGGTTAGTCTCAATCTCTGCACATCTGTGTGGGTGTCATAGCATCCTTTAGGAAATGCAATCTAAATGCAATTATAGCCGAGGAATTTCTAGATAATATATAGGCACTTGAAAATGGCATAGATAAGCCAGGTGCAGTGGCACATGCCTGTAATCCCAGCAGCTCGGGAGGCTGAGGCAGGAGGATCACAAATTCAAAGCCAGCCTCAGCAAAAACGAGACACTAAGCAACTCAGTGAGATGCTGTCTCTAAAATATAAAATAGGGCTGGGGATGCACATGTTCAGTGACCGAGTGCCCCTGAGTTCAATCCCTGGTACTCCCCCTGCCCCCAAAAGGCATAGATATTGCCAAATTGAAGGCCGAGATGGATCCCCTGCACCACCTAGCAAAGGTAGTCCTGTAAAAGTGATGAACAGGTGAGCCCTGCTCTAATAGGAAGGTAGACACCTTTGGGAGGTGGGAATTGCATGGCTGTCTCGAAGTATGTTGTAGTCTTTTGTGAAAGTCCCCAGTCTGCCACTTTTTTTTTCTTTTTCAGAAGCGGCACCATGTACTGCAGACTGCTCATCCCTCCCCGCTGTCCGTTTATAGAGGGTTCTTTGGGTGTAGACATTTTTCTAAAGCTAATGAGCTGCTGCAGAAATCCGGCAAGAAACCCATCGACTGGAAGGAGCTGTGACCTTGCACTGAGAGGGGGTCTCTTCTTCTCTGGGGGTGGTTTTTGAGAAGCTGCTGTTGAAGTATTCGTCAATTGTGAAGTCATTGAAAATTTCCTTATTCTTAAGTGCCTTGCCTAAGAGGAGAGAGCTTCCATTCAACAGCAGAGAGCCAGGCTGCCCAGCCAGGGACAGCAGAGATACAGCACTGTGACCATTTCTGTATTCGAACCCTCCTGGCACAGTAAGATGAGGCCCAAGGACGGCAAAGGTGGCTCTGCCTGAAATAAGCACACTTCTCTCAAGACCAGTGAGGTCAGGTTCTGGGTCCTGTCCAGCCTCTTACCTCTTTGGTTCAAAATGGGAGAGATACACCTTTTGGGGGCGGCTGTGTTTGGTCTTGCTGCTAGCATTTTTAGCTGATAGGTTAGACTTTAGGTTACAAGGTATTTGGTGGCTTGGCTTAGAAAAGCCCCTTAAATCTTTAGGAGAATCTTCAGGCCATTTCCTAGAAGAATCTGGAGGACCTTTTGCAAGCCTCTAGGAATCTGTCCCAAAAGCTAAGGATCAGAGTTTCCTGATTATAGTAAAGGCAAGGATCCCTGAGGATCACACCCTCGGTGTGAGCCTCAGACTGGATGAAGAAGCCTTGGGCTCTGTTTTTGTTGCATGGAATGAAGGTGAAGTTGAACAGAGAAGAAGGTTCTGTTTTGTTTTCATGCTGGGTGGGGGGTCATCAGTTGAGGTGTTTTAAGGAGGGACAGATTGCCAGATTCTATTTTTATGGACTTGGATTTTTTTTTTTTTTTTTTTTGCATCACTGGAGATTTTTACATTTTTGTAAGATACTCAGATACATTTTTTTTTTTTTTTAAAGACAGTGGTTTTTGCTGTTAGCTGGGTTAAAGAGTTGACCCTTACAAATTTGGTAATAAAAGATCTAACCCATTGAAGTTTTGCTTCCTGTCCCCTCTTTTCTTTGGCATGTGTATAAGCCCTCGGGCTGCCTTGTCCTTTGTACTAAGGGACCCGTGCTTGTTACCATGGCAACCATTGTCTGCAGGAATGGCCAGGCCTTGCCCTTCCTCCTTCCACCCTGAATGGAGCCATCCACTTGGCCAGCAGGCCTAGTGTTGTGGGACAGGCCCTCCAGGGAGGTTCTGGGGGTCCTGGGTGCCATCTGTCTTGCCCAATCTTCCCTCTGAATCTGTCATATGTGACCCATTGGTGTGTTGGCACTTGGCCCTCGTCACTGGTAGGCTGGAGGAAGAAGGTGGGATTCCCTGGCTGTCTGACAAGAAAGCAGAATATGGGGCTGAGGTGTAGCTCGGGGCTTGCTATGTGCTTGGCCTGCAGACCTAGGCCCTGATGAAAAGCGCCTCAGGTGAAAACCGAGACCAGCAGAGGCTTTTCCCAGGAGGGCAAGGATATGGAGACAGACCTCGGCTTTGCCCAGATATGTTGCTTTCTCTGGGTTACCAGAGTTTCCTTATCTATGAAAAAAAGGGCTCAGGATTCCACTGTTCTGTGAGCAGCACAGACTTCTCAAGTGTAATAGATGCCTTTTCAGTTGGGCCTCTGGTCACTTTGGGGTCTCCCAAAAGCATTGCAAGGGATTAGTGAGTGGATCCTCCCTCCCAGTAGGAGCCACTGCTGTACAAAAATTAAAGAAGCAAACAATTTGGTGTTTTTAACACCTTCTGGTGTGGCAGCCAGCTTCAGGAGGCTGAGGCAGGAGGATCACAACCTCAGCATTGTGGTGCGATCCTCAGCAACTTAGCAAGACCCTGTTTCCAAATATAAGGACTAGGGGTGGCATGGGAATATAGCTCCGTGGTAAAGCATCTTGGATTCAAGCCCCAATACCAAACCAGCAACAATAAAACTTTAACACAGTGAAGCTGTAAATGGAAAAGAAAACGTTAAAGGGCCTATGATTCCCCTCAGAAAAAAATACAAGTTGACTATTGATTATCTAGTGGTACTGAGGGTTGAACCTGGCTACTCTGTCACTGATTTATACCCCCGGCCCCTTTTATTTTTTTGAGACAGGGTCTCAGTTACCCAGGCTGACCTTGATGTTGCAGTTGTGTCTCAGCCTCCCAGGCTGCTGGAATTACAGGTGTGTGCCACTGTTCCCAGCTCCTCATCACATTGTTTTTCCAGTGCTCAATATATAAAAATGAATAGAAGACAGTGGGCTTTTCAGGCTGGCTTGGCACACTGACGTTTGAGGTACTGAACATTTCAGGTTTCACAGTCGCCTAGTCTCTGCAAACTGCTTGACTATCATAGACAAAGCAACTAAGCACAAAATGTCAACGAAGAGGTGAGGTATGTTTCAGTAAAACTTTTATAGACACTGAAATTTGTTCTTAGCATGTTTTTCACGTATCTATAGATAGCTTTTGATTTTTTTTCCCCCCTCCAAACATTTAACAAATGTAAAAACAGCTTCTAGCTTGGGAGCCCTAGTTTGCAGGCCCTTGAGCTCCCAAGTTGGACAGGGTGGGAGCAAGCGGAAGCCACAGCTATATCCGCCCAAGAGAGGGCAGGGTTTGAGATGTGTCCAGACCAGGAAGAGAAAGGAGCATTCTGCATGAAGGAGCCGGCCCCGTGTGCCGTGAGGATCTGGAGAGTCCCACGTGGCACGATGTGGGACGCACAGGAGAACCTGGATGGAATGTTGCCGTCTCCCTTCACTCCTTAGAGAGTGGCTGCCAGTGGTCCTGCTTCCTGGCTTTGGGGATTGCCAACCCAAGGAAGTTGGTTATTATGCAAATGTCATACTGGGAACCCCAAGTTATAAATTAATTGTGTGAAAGTTCACTACGTCGTTTTGATCTGGATCCATAGGGGGCAAAGTCGGGGACTGAATCGTTGATAAGTTTTTTTTTTTTTTTTTTTTATGGCCTAGATAGATAATATATTTTCTCTTGCTTAGAATTCACTCACTATTGCTTCAGTTTGCTCCTGGGATAAAATTCTTGGGGTTTTCAGTGGAGAAGTGAACTTTTGATGTAGATGCAGCTTTTCGTCACGTCAAACCTCCCAGATGTGTGAGGAAGAACAGGTAGGAGGGTGCTGGGCTACTTTGGAGGGGCCTTAAGGTGGACTGGAGCATCTCCCTGCTGGAGGTGGCCTTGTTTTCTCTGAGAGTCTACCTAACCCTTAATGTTCCCTTGTAGATAATCTGGGTTGGAACCTTTTCTTTTTGATGCTGCAGTGGAACCCAGGGCCTCAGGACCTACGGGCAGGCGTTCTACCGAAGCTATACACCCCCAACTCTAGTTTTTTAAATTGTTATTTTTTGTGGTACTGGAGGTTGAACCCAGGGGCACTCTACCACTGAGCTGTATCCATAGTCCTTTTTTATTTTGAGATGGGATCTTTTAAATTTATGAGGGTGGCCTCAAACTCAAAATCCTCCTGCCTGGGCCTCCTGGTGGCATGTGCCACCATGCCGGTGCCCTGCTCTAAATTTTCAGTTTTGAAGTGTGTGTGGAACTGTGAGTACTGGTAAGTGGGCCAGCCAGGAAATACTACTTTGCTTCTCACTTGCATATTTCCTCTGTGCCTTTGTCTCTTCTGTTAGTGGTATTTGGCGTAGGAGGAAGGGAGGCTTCAAACAAGTACTCAGTTCTCCTCAAACTTAGGAGAATTTAAAAAAAAAGCAAAGATGAATTCAAGGCTCAGGGTATAACTGAGTGTGGAGTCCCTGGCTAGCATGTACACAGCTCAGGGTTCCTCCCACATTGCGGAAATGAGGCTTAGGCAGACCCCATCATTATTATCTGTGGGGACAGGCACCTCATTTTTATCAAGTGTCTGGTTTGCAGCAGGACTGGCATCTTTTTCCCAAATGCCATTTCCTTGGCCTGTGGTCACTTACTGAGTTTTGTTGTTTCAGCAAATAACTTGATGTATATGACTTTTCGAATCTAGGACGTTTGAAGAGATCTGTTTCTTGTGTTTGAATATGAGTAACTTTGGTTCCAAGCCTTCCATGTGTGTTCTCCAAAACATCTGTCTTGGTGTCAAGGGAGAGTACCCACTCCAGGGCTCTCTGTGTGCCTAGGTGTTTGTTTTTTTTTTAAACTGGCGATTGAACCCAGAGGCACTTTACCACTGAGTCACATCCCCAGCCCTTCTTATTTTTTATTTTGAAACAGGGTCTTGCTAAGTTGAGGGCTCAGCCTCCCAGGCTACTGGGATTTGCAGGCACCACTGCACCCAGATAGTATTTTCAAAAGTGATGAATTCACTAGAAAGATTAAATGCCCATTATGAGCAAGCCACTGTGTTAAGAGCTCAATGTTTATCATGTCATTTTTTCTCAACTACATGGTGAAGTAGTTAATGAGAACACAGATGCTCAAAGTCAGGGATAACCAAAGAAGGATTTGAACTCACTTCAGCCTGATTTCAGAGCCTAATTATCTTGCCACTATCCATACCCTTCTTAGATCATAATTGTTTGTGGAGTCATTGGGAGGCTTCTCTTGTTGGTGTTGTTGGTGGTGGTGGTTTGCAGTGGTGGTTGCAATTCTGGGCATGGAACCCAGGCCTTACCCAAGCTAGGCAAGTGCTGTACCCCTGAGCTCCACCCTCGGCGTGGGAAGAAATTTTTTTAATGTAATTTTTAAAAATTCCCTTGAGTTACAGATGGCTTTCCCAGGAAGTGGGTGTAAGTGGTGCCTCTTTCAGGGGATTGCATGAAGCTGTCTTAATAAATAGTCTAAGGGCTGGGCTGTACTTGGTTGGTTAGAGCATTTGCCTAGCACTTGTGAGGCACTTGATTTGGTCCTCAGTACCACGTAAAGGTATTGTGTCTGTCTACAACTAAAAAAACATTTAAAAAATGAAAATAAATAAATAGCCTAAGAATGAGCACCAGGCTACCCCTCCCGAGACCTTAGGGCGGGCAGGCCATGCTGAGCCCTGGGCCTGCTGTGTTAGCCCCAGGTCCTGCAGTGAGCACTTGCTGCTCGTGGGGTTTGGCCCAAGATCCTGAGGCTCTGTAGCAGGCATGAAGTCCTCTTTCTGCTCTCAAGTTCACTGGAGAAAATCCCTAGAAGCCCAATATTCAATGACTTCTTTATCAAAAAAATAAGTCCACAGTGAAATTGCTCAGGCAACTGCCCCTGCCTGGCAGCTCTTGCTGGCTTCCCTACTTGCTGTTCAGTCTGGTGCTTCTCTGCTCATGGAAGGGGCTGCTGAGTGCCCTCCCTCCCTGTGTGGAGCACAGTGCTCTCCTGTGCGGCCTGCTCAGGTTTGAGCCTGGAGCTGACCTTTGTCCCACATGCCTCAACACTGAACTTCAGCCTGTGCTGAATTCCTCTGCTCAGCCCCAGCAAGAGCCAGCAGACCCCGAATGGGAGGGAGTGTTTTTTGGTTTGGTTTGGTTTCAGTCTCTCCGTCCCCAAAACCAGAAACGTCACATTCAGTGGCGTGATTTTGGAGGGTTTTGCCAAATCTTTCAGGGAGAGGAGCCAGAGGATCTTTAAAGGGAACTGCCTTCCCCATTCAGGCTTGTCTCCGTGAGCTTGTTTTCTCACACGCCCAGCAGCCTGTGGACAGCATGTCTCGGGAGGGCCAAGATGACTTTCATTCCTGTTGCTTCTGACAGCTTGGACCTGAGATGCCTCATGGTGAGAGCACCATGAATCATGAAGTAAAGCAAGTTACAGGACGTAGAGGTGGAAAGCAGAGCCCTCCCTGGAGTGGCCAGTGTGGGATTGTTTTCCTCCTGCCCGGGCTGTTGCTGCCATTCAGTACCTTGAAGGTTAAGTGCTCCAGGGATATTTTTAAACAGCAGGGGCCAGCTAATCTAAAAGTGACATTTAAAGTCACACAGTGAGCAGCCGGCAGGCTTAGATTCAGGCCCTTAGCAAACAAGGGACTTGGAAAATGTCACCCTGAACGCACAGTTGAGAGGACATGGGAAAAGAAA